CCCGCCATTCTACAACGAGATATACTGAAGGAGGAGGAATACTGTGCGATGCGGATCTCGTCTCGCGACACATCATATATGTCTTGCCCATTGCATTGCTGGGCGTAAGCATGTTTTGTCGTGCATTATCGCACGGCAGGCATCTCTCGCTGCTTGAGTCCCTTCCCGTACTAGCACAGCACGTACAAGGTTCACACTCGACCGTTCAGCGCGGCTACGCAGTTATCAGAATCTTTATCATGCCACCAAGTTATGTATTCAGGGATAGCTACAGTTCCGTCAACTCCGCGACTGCTAAGGAAAGGATATTCGAGCATGTTTACGTCCTTATCGAAGCATGACCAGATGTTCCGTCAATTGAAAGCGTCGCCTAGGCACTCTGCCAGCATATACCTATTGAATCTCGAAAGAGATTACCCCGCGGGGCTGAGTTCATAACCCTTGTACCACGACGATCAAAGTCTGCGTCATTGTGCAACGTGGGGTGGGAACCACCACCTGGGCAATTCTCCGTGTCGTGGATTGTAGCTTTACGAAGATTTCCACTAACAGTCCCGCGTACGAAAAGACAGAATGTCAAAACAGATACTCTGTATCATAGGGAAGAATTGCGCCTTCATAGCTGTTCACCATGTTGTTCAGCCTTGTAGGTATGACTTAGCAGTTGTAGTATACGTCTTCGTCGTTACTTGTGAAGGTCGATACTTGATCTCCCGACCCAAGCCTTAAGTACCGCCTTTGCTTCATTGCTACCATGTTACTGTTCAATCTCGTGAAATCATGACCTTTTCGCGCAAGGTTGGAATGTTACGGGCGGAGACGTCGCTAACAGTCAATGCTCCGGTAGTGTACAACATTGGACATGCTGAAGAATGTAAATTGGACCGCAGGACAGTACCAGCTCAGTCTTATGATTTCTTGCCTTATCACAAGGCTCCATTTCGTAGTATGCTTTCTCCCTCACTCGGTTCGAGGAGAAAGAGAAGACAACAAAGCTTCTAATACTCTCTCCTTTGACTTACACAGTGTGGTGTGCGAAAATCTTAAATTCTAGTCCTATCCTCTCTCCTATGGTACTGCGATGACCTATTAACAACGAGCTACTTACGACTCCCGCAACACACACGAGATACACAATAACTAAATCCGCCTATTAAATATAGAAGGGATGCGAAAGAGGTCACTCGGTTCGAGGGTAGACAGTATGATATGGCCTCTCCACTGTTGGTTTCACAGTGGTACGTTCACGGTGCACCCGCATCTGCGTAGGCACTGAATCCAGTCATTCACCAAGTACGAGCAGACAGTGAGATCTCTTGCGCTTGCCTTTGTCAGTTTTCCAGACAGTGTTCAAACACCAGAGTCTCGCTTGCACACCAGCCATTCTGTTAAGTTCTTCCGCCCAACCTTCTTCTTCATGCATCATTCGGATAGCGCATCTGACTTTCTCCATGCGACGTCTTCTTGCGCTTACGTCACGTAAGCCTCGCGTCCTCTTCATCGTCGGAGTAGCACTCTTGCTAGCATATGTCTTCGCAAAAAACCTCTACAGACTATCCACATCCCAACAGTCCTCCCAACCCGACTACACTTCCGCAAGGAATTCCGCGCCGTACCCGCCCGCAGCCATAGGCAAAAACGTAACTTGGACAGACTACGCATACGTACAATACGTGACAGATCCAAGCTATCTGTGCAACTCTCTCATGATATTCGAGGCCCTCAGGCGACACGGAACAAGAGCAGAACTCCTCATGCTGTACCCGCAGGAATGGGAAGTGCCCGGTGCTGTATTCGAAGATGAGGCTGATGCTACCGACTACGAAGGAAAGCTGCTTGCTCGGGCTCGGGACAGATATGGGGCAAGGTTAAGCCCTATCCAGGTACAGACTTATGAGAACAAGAATGATACGACTTGGCAGAGTAGCTATACGAAGCTGTTGGCATTTAACCAGACTCAGTATAAGCGTGTCATTGCTTTGGACTCTGATGGAACGCTTTTCAATGTAGGTTACTCCCTTTCTCCGAACCACGATAGTGGTGTTTGACACAACGACCCTGGCTAACGATTAGCAGAATATGGATGAACTTTTCTTCCTCCCCACATCTCCAGTTGCGATGCCTCGCGCATACTGGCTCGATCGGTTTTACTTGTCATCCCTACTTGTAGTCATCGAGCCGTCAGTAGAAAGTTGGCAGCGGGTACAGAGCGCGATGGAAAACCACGAGGGCCATGACTACGATATGGAAATCTTGAACAAGGTGTTTGGTGACTCTGCAATAGTGATCCCACCTCGCAGATACGCTCTTTTGACTCAGACGTTTGGCCATGAAGATGCCGAGCGTGAGGCATACCTCGGTTCGCCGTCGGAAGAATGGAATGCAAGAAAACTGTTGGAGGAATCCAAGTTCATCCACTTCTCAGATTGGCCATTGCCGAAGCCTTGGTTGAAAGCGACAGAGAAGCAGATTGCGGAACAACAACCTCCATGCAGATCGGTACCGGAAGGCAAGTCAGATTGTACAGACCAGGAGGCGTGGTTGAAGCTTAGGAACGACTTCTCTGAGCGGCGTCTGGTAAGTTATGATTTGATCTTCCATCCCCTGATACTGACAAATCGTAGCGCATTTGTGGGAGAGCCTATGATACACCGGTCTTGCGCAGCAACGCCCGTTCAGATGGCGATTGATGTGCTGGAAATTGTTTGAGCTAGCGATCGTGCTAATAGGAGCGGGCTCCCTCATGGCGCGAAATACTGATTCTGTGCAATTGATAACCGTATATCATATAAACCTATTGCATTGTGAAAGGTTTCTCGATATCAGGCTGCGCGAGGTCGTCGACTGCTTGGTGGGTGTTGTGGTAGCGAAATTGCGGAGAAGGAGCCGTGGGACCATCCAAGCAACTAACGATAGCTCCCTGCGAGCTTGGTCAGCAGGACTGTATGTGATTACTATATGCGTCATATGCCAATGTTGGTACCTATAAATGCTGCGGTACCACAATGTTACGATACGTGCGAAATCTCCAAAGATTGAATCTATACACATATAGCCGCAAAAAGATGTCGCATCTTCAGTACTACGCGTACCCCGGCAAGGGCGAGTCTGCCAGAGAGAACACCAGATACAGCCAGTCAGTCCGGATCGGTGACCGCATCGAATGCGCAGGTCAAGGTAATGTAAACCCATGACTTCCTTGAGCTCACAAACTGATGACTGCGACTGTAGGCGGATGGGATCCGATGACCAGACTCATACCCGCAGACATCGACGCTCAGATCGACCAAGCTTTCCAGAATGTGGAACTTGCTCTGAAGACCGCTGGTGGGAAGGGTTGGTCGCAGGTGTTCCGCGTAAACTCTTACCACATCCCGATGGATAATGAGGCCTTAGGGGCTATGGTGCGGAATTTCAAGAAATGGATGCCGGATCATCAGCCTATCTGGACGTGTGTTGGCGTTGTCAAACTGGGTGAGGATGCTATGAGGGTAGAAATTGAGGTGTCGGCTCATGATCCTCAATAGAGGACGGTGATGGAAGGTTTGACGAGAGCATGTTGGACGCGTCCCTTAAGGAGCCGTGGATGGATTCGAAAGGAAGACGTGTGTAGCCTATGCATGCGAAAGTCGATCTCTCCATGAATGTATCCTGTTTTAGAGAGCCCAATTCGAATTGTGGTCAGTTTGCATCGATGCGAGATGACGTGGGTAGCGATGCGTGATGTGGAAGGTGCGGACTCAGGACGGAACACGTGAAAGGGCGATGAGGCTTGCCAAGACCATCGGCGTAACTATCGCCGACGGGATTCTTCCAGTTCTAGCTCTTGCGACGCGCTCCGGACTCCACGCGCAACTTCGCTACCAACTCCATCAATCTCAATATCCCATTTCCGCGCCCAGACGAGCACTTAATACACGATGCCGAAGTTCTTCTGCGACTACTGCGATGTGTACCTCACCCACGACAGTATGAGCGTGCGGAAGGCGCACAACAACGGCCGCAACCATCTCCGCAACGTCCAGGCCTACTACGAGCAGATATCGAGCGACCAGACACAGCAAGTCATCAATAGTATTACCGACGCCTACAACACAGAAGGACAAGCCAACCCGCTGTTTCAACAGAACCTGGCTGGAGGCTTCCCTGGAGGACCTATGGGCGGGATGCCCCCAATGGGAATGCCCCCGATGGGTATGCCTGGATTCCCGCCGCCAGGAATGCCGCCCATGGGTGGAATGCCTCCAAACTTCATGGGCCGCGGAGGTCGTAAGTTGCCCTATAGCCACCACACATTATTCTGTACTGACAGCGCGACAGCTCCAATGCCACCCAACGGAATGCCACCCTTCCCTCCGCCAAACGGTATGCCCCCGGGCCCTGGCGGTATGCCGCCTTTCCCACCACCACACATGGGAGGCGGCCCACCTCAAGGAATGCCGCCCTTCCCATTCCCACCACCAGGACAGGCAGGCTCACCCCCTGGAGGTATGCCGTACCCACCGCCAGGTGGTATGGGAATGCCGCCTGGCGGACCTCCTGGCAGATACCCTCCTGGACCACCGGGACGTTAGGAGCGACCTGGTGCACATGGAGGAATGATACCTGCCTTTGGTCACGACAACTACGCAGCTGAGGCCCTTGAGGCGGGCATGAAGAGGAAGAGGCAGAACGATGAAGATATACCCGGAGTTTCCATGAGGGATGGTGGACGAGAAGGAGGTGGAGCAGCTACAGGCGCGAATGCTATAGTCACGACACGGACCAAGAGGGTATAGCGTAGGCTGGGACCATACGCCAGGGGAAGCGGGAGCAGTGAGACCGCTGTGAAGGCACATGGGAACAAGTACGTCCCATCCCCAGGCTGTCGCGATGCTTTTGGCTCACGCTCATGTAGTATTACTTGTCAAAGAGTTCATCAGTAATTACACGTAATGCCGTTTACGAACTCTATGTCGAAACTCACAACACGCTCATTGCTTTCAGTTGCCGACCACCTTCTATCTACCGAACAGACTTTTGGCAAACGTTTCAACATCCATCATGTCCATGCTCAGCGCCTTATTCACCGTCCGGCTCATCTCCCACCACACACCATCCCTGGCGAATACCAGCCTGTACTTCTTGATGCCATCTTCTGGCGCCGAGTCAAGCTCCTTCTTCAAATGCTCAATGCGCCACGCCTCCTGCTCAATCTGCTTCCCGCTCACCCGCTTGACGATGTCAGCCAGCTGCCCATAACTCACAGTATCACCCGCAATATACAACACACGGTCCTCAGCCTCCACATCCCCCGCAATAACCCTCGCCAACACCCGTCCAATATCATTCACATCCGTCACAGTAACCTTGTGATTCCAATCCCTCAGACACCTCACCACCACTGTTCCTTCCTCCTCTTTACTTCTATCCACGATTCCCCAGAACTGCTCGAAAAGAAAAGACATGAAAATCCCCGTACTGACAACCGTCCACTTGACATCACTCTCCTCAGCCTTCCGCCGCAACAAATTCCTCACATCACGCTGAGCACCGAACAATGGCATCAACCCCTCTCCATCACCAATGACATCGTAATCAACCCCCCACTGCCAGGGAAAGAACCATAATTTCCCTTTCCTCTCCTCTTTTCTGATTTTGCCGGCCAACAGGACTTCCTCGCCGAGCTTGAGCACGCTGCTTGGGTCGGCGCCGAAGCCTGTGGCGGAGATGAGGATGTCGTGTGCGGAGAATTTTTTGGCGAGGGAGGGTGAAGGTGAGGAGAGGTCGATAGCTGTGAGGGAGATGTTGGGGGATTGGAGGTGGGTGTATTTGGATGGGGAGCGGATGCCGATTGTGATGTGGGTATTGGGGAGGGCGGAGAGGTGAGGGAGGAAGGCTGTTCCTAGTTCGCCGGCGCCGAGGAGGAGGATTTGTGTTTTGGGGGAGGTCATTTTGGAGGGATGTTTGATGGTGTGATGTGCAAGTAGGATGAGATGGATGTTATCTTAATCGAAGTAAGTATGGAATAGAGCCTTCTGCTTATATGTACGTGAGTATCAGTCATCACGTTAGATCGTTAGATTGAAACAAGATCAGGTCATCATCTATCACATGCGAGGTATGTTGTTCTATGCTTGTGTACATGTTTCTATGGTGGGGAAGTAGCGCGGAGATACGACTTGGGATACCGGAGTTAGTCGGCTTTGGTGGAAAGAAGTTGTGAAGTCAGGGAAGGAACGAGTGGAAATGTTTTGCCAAGCCTTAACTGTGCACTCGTATGATCCTTCAGAAATGAATGAAGGTGAATGCTTATCCAATAAAGGCGATAATACGGCACGCATTGCACAGGTGAGATACGCGGAAGCATGTTGACTACCCCTCATATCTGACTTTGGAGTAAGTTGCGAAGATTGCAAGGTCGCGTGGAGTGTCATGAGATAAATGACTATCCATTAGGACTGTACCACTCACTACAGATATTTTGTTAGTGGCTTGACAGTGTCACGTCCAGGTGAAGTCAATGTCGAGTAAGGGCTCCGGTGCTGACGGTCCACGCTAAGCCCAAACGACGCTAGTGGTTCGCCTATCAACCTTGGAATTTTGAAGCCTCCAGCCTTTGTGCGCAGTGCTCTTCGACGAACAACTATTAACACCCGAGTGCGCCTACGTCCATCCCAAGCAGAAGCCACTCATCGCAATCATGGCCGAGCAACTCGTACTCCGTGGCACCCTCGAGGGCCACTCCGGCTGGGTCACCTCCCTGGCGACCTCCCTGGAGAAGTGCGTATACGCGGGAAGAGGGAAAATGCACGAATGCGCAATACTGACACGCGATTAGCCCCAACATGCTCCTGTCCGGATCGCGCGACAAGACTCTGATCATCTGGAACCTGACCCGCGACGAGACCTCGTACGGTTACCCCAAGAGGAGTCTGCACGGTCACTCCCACATTGTCTCCGACTGTGTACGTTCACCACAAAATTGGGCAATTGGCTAGCTAGGAAGCGACGACGGCTGAGCTGACAATTGCTGCACAGGTCATCTCCTCTGACGGCGCCTACGCTCTTTCCTCATCGTGGGACAAGACCCTCCGCCTCTGGGAGCTCTCCACCGGTGTCACCACCCGCCGCTTCGTCGGCCACACCAACGACGTTCTCTCCGTCTCCTTCTCCGCCGACAACCGCCAGATCGTCTCCGGATCGCGCGACCGAACCATCAAGCTCTGGAACACCCTCGGTGACTGCAAGTACACCATCACCGACAAGGGCCACACCGAGTGGGTCTCGTGCGTCCGCTTCTCCCCCAACCCCCAGAACCCCGTCATCGTCTCTGCTGGTTGGGACAAGCTCGTCAAGGTGCGTACATCCGCGTTTACACCAACTCCTGCATTTCCTTGTTTATATGATGAATATCTATGTATTTGCTACTTCAGAGCCTCGGCTATGAGACAATTATCACCTAGTACTGATTTACGCTCCTCCACTCGATTTGCTTCAAGCCATGTCCAATTCGGGAAGCTGACAGTATCCAGGTCTGGGAACTCGCTTCCTGCCGCATCCAGACCGACCACATCGGTCACACCGGTTACATCAACACCGTCACCATCTCGCCCGATGGCTCCCTCTGCGCCTCCGGTGGTAAGGACGGAACCACCATGCTGTGGGACCTGAACGAGTCCAAGCACCTCTACTCTCTCTCCGCCGGTGACGAGATCCACGCCCTTGTCTTCTCCCCCAACCGCTACTGGCTGTGCGCTGCCACCGCCTCCAGCATCATCATCTTCGACCTTGAGAAGAAGTCCAAGGTTGACGAGCTCAAGCCTGAGTACATGGAGGTTGGCAAGAAGAGCCGGGAGCCCGAGTGTGTCTCCTTGGCCTGGAGCGCCGACGGCCAGACCCTGTTCGCCGGATACACCGACAACCGTATCCGCTGCTGGGGTGTCATGGCGAGGGGATAAGGTAGTGCATGTTGGGTAGTGCAACGGGGCGTAACGGGAAAATCACGATTCCACATCTTCTGTAGCATGCCATGGGTTATGATTGATGCTCATGCGGGATGGGTTTGGGACTCTTCCGGCATTACCACGTCCAGGCGCTTAGAGTCAATGAAAATTCTCAAGTCCAAAAGTGGTTGCTTGCCATGCGTGGTGGTTTATGTTTTCGTATGTGGGCTATGGAATGTCAAGGTTGCTCACTGAGACGTCCTCCGCGACGAACGAAGTGTCTCGCTGCTCGGATATGGTATGGGATAAAAGTCTTTCATATGATAATCGCATCCCAGGATCTTTCCAAAACACATGCGATTGCCTTTCTACAGCTTGCTGAACTTGGGGCTCGTCTTCTTCAGCCCACTCATCATAGCATCCTTGACATCCGCCGTCTGCAACATAGCCGCATTCCACACAGCCGTATAGTTCAGTCCCTCACTAATCGGCCTATCCCTGGAGTAATTGATAATCTCCTTCGTCCCCAGCACCGCCACAGGCGACTTCGACGCAATCAACGTCGCCAACTTGGTCGCCTCCGCAACCGCCTCCTGCTTATCCTTGTACACCTTCGACACAAGCCCATGCTGCAACGCCTCATCCGACCCAAAGATCCTCGCCGACAACGCAATATCCTTAACCCAGGACAGATTTCCAACAGAGTGAGGAAGCCGAGATAACGTGCCAATATCAGCCGCAAGCCCTATATCCACCTCCTTCACACTAAACCTCGTCGTCGTCGTACTCACACGGATATCACACGCTAGACTCATATCCAGCGCTAGACCGAAGGACACGCCGTGCAGCACGCAGATAACGGGTTTCTCGCATTTCTCGATGTCGGTGATGCAGGACTGGAATTCTAGGATGTGTCGCCGGAGGGCGTTGGCTTTGCGGGCGCCATCTGAGATGTCGGCTTGCGTGGATAGGGCGCCGTTTTCTGAGGCTGCTTGCACGTCTAGGCCGGCGGTGAAGGCGCGGTCGCCGGCGCCGGTTAGGAGGACGGCGCGGACGGAGGGGTCGTGGGAGAGTTGGCGGAAGAGGGTGGAGAGGTTTAGCCACATGCTGGGGGGTGTTAGTTGGAGGGTTTGCGGGTTATATGGTGTAGACGCTGGGAATGGGTTGAACATCGTTCATACGGTCGACAATCACATCTCTCCAGCGATATTGTAACTTTGATGTGTATCTCTCTCTTTTGTCGCAACACGTGATGCGCGTATGTCCTGAAGCCCTATGTCCCGACCTTCGGGAGAAAAGCTTATTGTACTTACACCTCTTTAAAAGCGTTCAGCTTCTCCGGTCTGTTGATTTCGACGTGCGCAACATATTCCGCTGGGAAGGAAACGTTGAAGAACTCTTTCTGGTATGCTTCCGCCATTGCTGCTTCCTGTCGCGTAGTTTCGCCTGATCTTCGCTGTGTTTCCTTGCTCTTTCTCTTCTCTTACGGAGCTGGTATAGAGTTCTTACTCGGAAAGTCGAAGATTAATGTTAAGAAGAATGCCGCTACGTCCGTAAGATGAGGAGTGAGATGTCGGCTCCGACGAACTGGGCGGGCGAGTCGTTCGGTTGGAGCTTGTGATGATCGAGCCGAGGTAGAACGAATGCGGTTAGCCCATTACTTGATGCAGAATGTACAATCGATCACCTTTCGCACCTGCATCACAACAACGTCCACCGCTACAACACGCTTGCTGAACGGCATGCCGGTCATGCCATACGTCTAAGTAGGATTGATAGTTGTTCGAAGGCTGCACCTTGTTAAAGCGGTCTTGTCGCCGTCGCTCGCTTGAGGCTTGAGTCAACATGAACAGCCACAAGGCTGAGTCTCCATGCCACAGTTGCTTGGTCATTCTCAGCTATTTATCCTTCAGCCTGATGCCAACTCAAGATGTAGCTACCTGGCCGAATGGTTTGCGCACATCTTTCTGCTTCGCAGCCGGCTCCATAACAGCGTCTTTTAAGTCACGACTTCGCCATGGGAGAAATGTTATGGTACTGTTCAGGCTGCGGCGATGGTCCAATTGCTGTGTGGCAGAATGTATGCGTTGTATGTAGCCATCAAAAGTGTGGCTCATGCACAGTTGAAGACACAGAGCAATCGGTCCCGGTCGATGACAGTCTGTCTAGTCGATCTATCCCAAACGCTGGAGGGATGAAAGGTTCAATCCCTGAGGCCACTGGCGACGAAGAAGAGTACGGATCAGATGTCAAGACTAATCCAGTAACACACGACGAAGACGACCGCGATGTGGCACTGGGCCAGGTATCGGATTCTGGCCCAGTACTGCATAGTCAGGGTGTGTACTTAAGTACCTCCCCTCCGGACGATGAAGACAACATGTCAACGACATCGACGACTCTGGGGTCTGTTTTCTCAACAGATTCCTTAGCAACTTCAATAACGGCGTTTTCTAAAGAAAGCGGGTTTTCGATCGAACAGATACAGACTGCTACGCGAGTCTTCGTTTCCATCGTACAGGACAATGAGCTGCTCGCGCCACTGTACGAGTATGCCCGCAACGATGTCGAGATTGGACCCAACCGATTGAGGAGACATATACGCGGAGCTTTGAAGACATTTGCAGACAACCTGAAAGAGAAAGCGGATGACCACATTCAGTTTCAAGCTTCTCGTCTCGTTCACGCAAAGGCACGTCACGCCGCGCGGTGCATCGCTAGCGGAGAGGACCAGAACCACCAGCCACAGGCTAATAGTTCTGAAGATGAGATCGCGGAACGTGCTGTTGAAGAAGCCTTCCTGGACCTGAAGGCTTTCCGCATCTTCCTGACAGAGAGCGATGCTTATGCAATATTTCAAGCAGACATACATGCCTTCTGCACGAAACAGTCGACTAGGATACAGAACTTGCCGGCTATTGATACGCCAAAGCCATTACCTGTGCCTAAAGATAGCACAAAGCGTACATGGTATTCATGGAAGAAAGATACCGAGGTTCTGGCGCGCGGCCTGTTGTTAGGCTTTGATCGGTCACTTGGAGCAAAAGCCGCGATGTTTCTCCTGCTAGACTTCTTCTTCCTGTTGACGGATGACTCTCTAGTCGCCTTGGGATGGTTAGAGCCTGCATTGAGAGTCGGCTGGACGCGGCTAAGAAGTCAATGCGTAAGCATTCGCAATGAGTGTATATACAATGAACTTCACTGACTTCTGGCGCAGAACTGTGGAGATTACTTCTTCGAGGACGTAATTGAGCAGAGAGTTGAAGGCGTCACATCATTGTTACAAGATGTACGACAGTCCTTACCCAACATCAAAACAACCGTTGTTCCTTATCAATCCGGCTTCGACGTCCAACAATACACCATTACGGTCTCAACGTGGTTACGTCACGTTAGTAGCCGCGTATTTACAGCAGTCTCAGGGCATAATGGAAACCATACTGGCCTACCTCAGCACAACACCGGTAGTGCCGTAAACCCAAGTGGCCTAGGAAACATAGGCAGCCCACAGCAGCAACATGGTTCGCTACACCTGATGGCATGTGTACATCGGAGCCGCGAAGACACAGTGTTACTCCAGAATGATGTCCGCACTATCAGCAACGACCGGGCGCTATTCACGTTTCTGAGATCGCAGATCTCGCAACGTCGCAATCGTCTTCTGCTTGTTCTCTCTTGTCGTTCCATCAAGGGAATCTACTTCAGCAAGGTCAGTATAAGGAACAACACCAAACGCATATGAATTGACTTGACATACGCCCAGTTCCGTCTCAGCAACAAGAGCAGTGTGGAGATTCGCCACCATCATTCATGCTGTCAGCCCATCATCTCACAAGCAGGGATGTGCCAATGCTTTCCCCCCTTCGAAAAGATCGAGCCCTTTCCAAACGCCGAATACAGATGCACCCTACCCTACCCTCTAGATGCCTGGCCACCCGTACTACCACGAACGCTACTACACATGCTCAAGTGCCCGAACAAGATCAACGAGAAGTCAACGTGGATCTATAACCTCGCCCCCAAACGTACCGTGGGAGAACTGTCGTCAGACATTGATCAGCCAACTGATGGATGGGGGTTCTACTTTGAAGAAGGCTGGGATTTTGACCTGATCATCACGATCAGCTTTGTGGTGTTTATGTTGGGAAGTTTACTTTTCGGAATCTGTTGGTCGGTGTTGGAGTCAGATATCCAGGGTGCATTTGGTGTGAGCGCGTATATGGTGACTGCTTGTGGTTTGTTCGTTGCTTTCGTTGTGAGTAAGACGGGGTAGGGGGGCTAGACAGCGAAGAAGACATGGCGTCTTTGACTTATCAGGACCTAAATTTGGGTCGGGCTGACTATTCGAGGCCTACTTTGGTATGCAGGATAACTGCGACAGCTGCAGGATAGACATATGGACATGTTGTCGTTTGCAAAACCACTGACCCAGCTGAGCGAGTGATCCCAATTGGCTTGTGCAGCTCGGCGATGCCTCCACGAACCAGATACCTACATGTTCTGCATCTTTGCCAATGCGGTCTCATTCCAGACCTTTACCATTTGGATTGGACGTTTTCTCATCACTGTAGTCTGGTGACTTGGTAGAGGTTTAGCCGCCTCAAACATCAAATTTACGTCTTCTATTCTTTGTATACTTCATCTACACTAATCTTGGTTGATACTAACGCGCATCCTCTCATCTATCTATCTTAGACTCCTATGAAAAAAGCTTCACACATAAGGCCTGATTGTAATTGTACGTTCCCAGCAGCCGCACACTATCGACCACAGAGACCTGGTGCTGTGAAGCACTCATAGACTCTTCGGAAAACAGCAAGCCCAAAAATGTGTCGCTCTCAGGATACCGTTGAAGCCGACCATAGGAAAGACGTTCATCTTCATCACACCAAAGCGAAGTACACTGACTTCACCCGATCAAAGCAAATATCGGGAAAGTCTAAAATTAATGTATTAGAAACGTACATATTCCGCCGCAAGCAGCGCTAACATGCAACATCTACCAACCCTGAACAAACGAAATCACCCCTCCCCTCCACCCCCCCTATCGTATCTTTATCTACCTAGGTCCAAAAGGCCTAGGTCCAATAATCTGCCTCTTCCCCGCTCCAATTCCCCCCAACTTATTCTGATTATCCCCACCCATGTATCCATACTGATTGACATCCCAGCTCTGACCTCCACCTGTCCCTGCATTAGGGTCCTTGGCCGCTTCTTGCAGCGCGCGCTGCGACTCCTCCCACTCCTTCTGGCGCTCGCGCTCACGCTCCATTTCGCGCTCGAGGAGGGACTTGCTGGCCCAGCCGGCGGCTTTTGTCTTTGTTTGAGCGGCGGCTCGGCGGGCGTCTTCGCCGCGTTGTTCCGAGGTGGATGTGAGCTCGGGTGGGATGTAGGTCTGGGGCTTGGGTGGTGTGGGGGCAGGGTTGGAGGAGAGGTAGCGGTCTGTTCGGCTCTGCTTTGTGTATGCGGCTGGGTCGGGTAAGGGTCGCGTGGTTGGTTCTGGTAGTGGACGCGTGGGGAGGGATGGCGCTGCGGGCTCGGGGAGGGGTCGTGCTGGCTGTCTCTGTGTCTGATCCCACTGCTTGCGGAGATACTCGCGATCGTCTGCTTGCGCCCATGAGACGTTGCTGTCTTGTGGCGAGGGCGCGCGGGGTGGAGGAGCTGGTCGGGCTCGACTCTTGGATCGCTCGCGTGTACGGCTCTTGGACCGCGACCGCACCTTCTTGTCTGACAAGCGTCCTTCTCGCTCTGCCTGGTACTGGCGCTCGCGTTCTTTGGCCTCTTCGAGCTGGCGTTCTAGCTCTCGTATGCGGTCGCGCTCAGCGTTGGGCTCTTCGCTGCTTCCTCGTCGACTCCGCGGCGACCTGACCTTCTCAGCCTGGTATTCGCTCAGGTACTGCCCCTTCAGCCTGGCATCACTTCCAGCGCGCTTTCGTCTCGTCTCGGCGTCGATTCTATCCTGTGCCTCACGCTCTTCACGTTGGCGTTGCTCCTCCTCCAGCTTCCACTGGCGCTCTTGCTCTTCCCACTCGCGCTTCTGTTGATCCAGCCGCGCCTGCTTGGCTTCTTGCTGTTTGCGTGTCTCCTCTTCCCACTTCTGCTCCTCCTCTATGCGTATGCGCTCTTCTTCGGCTTCGCGTTCGACGCGGCGTATGTTCTCGGCCTCCTCAGCTTGTAGACGTAGTCGCTCTTCTTCGGCTGCCCTCTCGCGTCGCAGTCGCTCCTTCTCAGCCAGGTTCGGCACGTGCGGGCCTGCGCTCGTGATTTGCCGCCGGCCACCAAATGAGATGCCCTGATTGCCTTGACTCGCACCGCCCATGTATCCGTACTGATGAATGTTCCATGCCGGTGCTGTGCTGCCTTCGTCGACCTTCTTGCTCCAGCTACTGACTCCGCCCGGAGGTGACTTGGGGAGACCGTTGGATGTGTATGATGTGTCTGAGCCTCCAGTGCGTGCGGCACTGAGCGTCGATGCCGTCCGTTCGGCAGGAGGTCGCGCAAGGGGGTTGAATGTGCTCGAGCCGCTAGTGTTGCTGGCGGTGCTAGGTCCTCTGCTGCGTGGGAAGCCGGGAGACGGCAGTGCAGGACTCGCCATGCCGCCGGTTGCCGTCGGGCTCAACGCGCCAGCTCCGCCACGCTTTGGGCCGATGGCGTTGGGGAAGTTGGACGGGTTCTTCGCGTTGGCGACACGGCTGAAGGCACCTAGACACTGCAGAACCTGAGCTGGGTCCTTCGATTCGTAGAGATCGACAGTGAGGAAGCGATCATGGGCGGGCATGTTCAGCGGCGGCTGTTCACAGGCTCGGAGGAAGTGCGAAATGTTCTCCATCTGTATGAAGGGCATGTTTGACTTCTTGAACCTGACGGGCGTAGGTATGGCGAGGTTGATGAGTCTAGAAAAGTTAGCTATACTGGCCCAGCTACCTGGTAACTCTGCGGATATCACTGTACCTGCATAATACGGTCCCGTCCTTGAGCGCATCCAGCAGATCTCCCGCGGGCAGGCGCTCTCCGAGTGTGTCTTCTATCCAGCTGCGGACTTCATTGGCTGCTTGGGGGGTGTATCGGTCCATCCGCAGCCTCCGCATGTCCTGGTCCAGCGACGTTACAGACGCCATGGTGGTTGGTTTGGGCGCAAATCAGGCTTGTTGCGGTTGGGCACGAAGGTCGTGTGGGCGGTGACGGGGAGGGTGCACGAGGTGTAGTAGTGAGATATGATAATGTATATGTCTCTATGTAAGGGCCTCGACTGCTACGTGTGTTGTTGTGGCGTCGGGGTATGCAATGATGGCATGTGTTGTTGTGTGGAGAAACTTGGTGGTGGGGGAATGCTTGCACATGTGCTAACGTGAACGCACCAGCCACTCGCCCCAACGTCACCGGCCTGCGCGTCAAAGTCGCCTCCAGATATTCGCCCGCTGGAATTTGTTCGCGGCCCAGCGAGACTCAGCATGGCGGGCGCACCGGGTGCAATTCGCAAAGCATGGTACCAATGGAAGATGAAGCGCTTCCCCTGGCGCAAGAAGTGGCTTGTGGGTGAGTGCAGGCCACAACAGAGGTCTCTGGCGTATCCTTGCTTCCAAGTAATAACACTTCGTAGGCTTTGATCTCCAGGGCAACACTTTCTGGGAATTCAAGGACGCTCTGCACGCCCTGCGCAACCGACGGATAGCAAAATACAGTCGCAGCACTCACTATGGCGACGTGCAAATATCGCGTTCGTGCCTTCCGCATGCAGTGTTTGACCGAGGCTGACTGTGGCAGCGTCATGGATGCAATGGCTGAGACACACGCGCTACGATCCCCCCACCGTCGCCGAACAACACCAGGATATGATGAGGCAGGAGAGGATGAAGCAGTTGGCGGCGCAGGCAGATGCACGATGGGCCGAGAAGCCGTCGGCGCTCGATGCGCCGGATAAGCAACAGCCTGTGCAAATGTTGCAGTCGCGAGACCCAGACAGCGGCGTCACGCAGATGAATGCCGACCAAGAGATACGCGACAGCATAGAGCCATCGCGGCTACTCGATCAGGAAGCCGCAAGACCAGCGCCAGTAGAGCCCGAACAACCCGCAGAGCCTCAGCAGATGCCACACGATCCGCCAGCACCTCCTGCCGAAGACGACGCGCCTGCCTTCACGCCTAGAAAGAGGATGAAGAAGGAGCCCAAGGACTCGCCATGGAAGCAGGCGGCTCAGAGTCAGGAATGGCAACCTCAGGGCTGGAGTCCCGCGCCAGCCAAACGACGATCATGATGACCACGTTCAATAGCGACTGTACCACTATCTGTTTCAATACCTGGCAAACATCAGCAAGCATATGCGATATTCAATGTCACCAAAACACTGCTCTCTGTTCGATCAACCATCTCATATAGTACACTGTCAAGATGATCCTCCGTGGCGCAGGATCTGTCATGCCACGCTTCCCAACCATGGGCCAGATCTCGAGTCGATGCGAGCCTGGCAAAGCCGATCTTTCCGCCAGTCTCCGTCAATGTTAATACCCAGCACATATTCACACTCATGCTAACAACACTGTCGCTTACCTACTTACAACGCAGCAGTGCCAGAAATTCACCTTAGTGTCTCCCCGTTTCCGCGCCATGTCAGGTGTTGAGTACGAACTGTGGTACCGATTCACGAACCGGACTGTAAACCACGTGCAGTGACGAAAATCATACCAACGATGCGCTTAACCATGCACTTTGTAACATATATAGGCTCTCTACTCCTGTCTTGACGCCTATTCTTTCAGGCAGTATTCATGACCATGGCACATCTTTCGAGCAACGATGATGAAATGACATTCCAAATCGCTGCACAAAACTTACCCCCAGAACTACTCCTCATCGTACTACAGCATTGGCTCGGCCAACAACGCATCGTAATCGATGGCTCCGCGCATGCTCACTACACACTATCCTACACCAACCCCGAAAACATCGATCCTTTCGCCACCATCTCCAGGACCAGCGATGCCCCATCATCCATTGTCCAAGAATACTTTCGGTCTCGGATCCGCTCCTGGCTGACCGACACCAAAGAGTTCTCCGACCCAACAACATTCTACATGAGCCATCTCCTGATGAGTCTAAAGATGAAGGACCGCATAGGCTGGTACTATCTGCCCAACCAACCATGGGATGCCATTTGCCAAGACCCGAAACTCTCCTTGTCGACAAGGTTTCCGGTAATAAACGATCGCGATGCGCAATACGCTCGTATGAAGCATCTCTCCTCGCTCCACGGACTAGAGAAGATCAAACTCGACTTCACGGCTGAACAATACTTCGCCATGTTCGACGTCGCAGTACCACCCTTCCATTACCGCGACGGTGCAGTCGCCGGCGACAACTTATACCGCGACGAATTCTGCCATGGCGCCGGCCATTTCCTTTTGCATACGAAGGAACTTGAACTGCATTTCGGCGACGCATACAAGCAGGCAAACCCCTGGTACGACGTCCAAGAAGCTGCTTGGTGCGAGACAACCCCCGCAAAGAACTTCCCTGAAGCAAGACTACGCCCGCACGTCTGTGATAGTGGCTTGGTCATTGACTGGATATTGGAGTATGCTTGGTACAATGGGCATCTTCAACACATCAAGAGGATTGCCCTGACTGGCGATGTCCAGCTATGGGTGAAGGAGAAGTGGTATGATATCTTCGAGCGGCATGCTGTGTACCTTGAGGAGTATCCCGGACTGTGTTATCGTATTTTCGCTACGCATGAGCCTGATCCTATTGATTTGGAAACTATTGGTATAGACGACGAGGACGAGGATGATCAGGATGAGGCGTGGAGGCCGCAGAATCATTATCCGCCGGCTTGTAGGTGTGAAGTGGGGTGTTGGCGGTTACGGGGTGGGGGAGTTGAGGAAGAGTTGGAGGCTAAAACTTGGGATGACTTTGAAATGTATGCTGATGAGGTTGTGGGCGATTGGATGAGTGGTGTTGTTGTGGGGTCGCTTTGACGCCTATGTTAACGCCACGTCTTCTCATCTGCCTATTATTCTCCTAGTGTATGCTTCAGACCTGAATAGGTTCTTCCTTGTATAAGATGGGTGTGCAGCACCCAGCCTGACGCAAGAAGGAATTACCCGGTTATCTTCTCGGTGGCACTCTTCATTCCCTCAAGCACGTTCCGCATGCGTTGCATCAACGTGATTAGCATAGAACAGTCGCACTGGGTGCGGCGACGCGTTGCGTATACAATCATGCATGTGCGCGCGCACATGCATCATCCTCATGTCGAATTCGCGACGACCTCACCGCTATACATCGATCTTGAGAGCGAGTCATTACACTCATCGTATTGCTGCTATCGGAAAATCGATATACAGCAAGGCAGGGATGAAAGGCGAGGTCAAGCGAATGCAGAACAACAAATCTTCCTCGGCCCCCAAATACGTTGGCCATGACGTCACTACCCCGACCACCTTCCCAGGCCACCTCTGCACAACACCCCAAACCCGCAGCACAACTCGAACTCAATCGATCAAACATCTCACTCCCATCGTGCCGGCTTTCCCCTCTTCCGCACATTCCAATTACTCGCATCACCGATCCACGCGCCGTGGGTCTGGAGTTCTGTCGATCTGGCGCGCCTAGCCGCCGATCAGCAGGAGACGATCAGCCACGGCGCCCAGGTCCGCGGTGATATACACGATCTGACCAGTTGAGGTAATGATTGACTACGGGTGACTACGTGACTACGTGGGGACTATATGCCGGCTACGACTAGCTATGCAGGAACTACGCGGGACTATGCGAGCTACGTGACGCTATGGGGAGGCTCCGAGGCACGATTCAGAGCTCTAAGAGGAGGATGAGGGGTCAGCGGGATTGGGGGCGTGGTCATTGGATGGATCGGGGGATGATGGGGAGGCACGGTAGTATCTGAGTAGTGGATGGCGGAGAAGCTTAAGGACGGGATGGGCGTCTGTCGTGGAACGTTTTTGTGTTTACTATCGCTTCTTTGACTGGACTTCACCATCCTTCATTTGACAAATTCCAAGTAAACATTTATACGTCCTTGGAATACGAAAGATGCGTTCCACACTCGTCACCACAGTACTCGTCGGAGCAGGCCTAGTATCAGCAAAAGGCCTCCTGGACCTCCCCACCGACATAGCGAATCTACTCACTTCGCTCGCTCCAGCACCCGCAAGCGACCCCCGATGGACAAACTGGCATCCCGCCTCCAGCGGCGATGTACGCTCCCCCTGCCCCGGTCTAAACGCCCTAGCAAACCACGACTTCATCCACCGCAACGGGCGCAACATGACCATCCCACACCTAATCGCCGGCCTCGCCGCCGGCCTAAACATGGGCGCAGACTTCACCACCGCCATAGGAGCCGCGGGTCTACTCTCCTCTCCAAACCCGCTAGGCGGCTCCTTCGACCTCGACGACCTGTCTATGCACAACTTCCCCATCGAGCACGACGCCAGCATGTCGCGCCAGGACGCGTACTTCGCTAATCCGCAGCCCTTCCACAACCCTACGTGGCAGCAATATATCTCCTTCTTCAATGGGAAGGAGAGAACCGATATCCCGACGGCGAGTAAGGCGAAGTACGCGCGCACGACGGATAGCCAGAAGAGGAATCCGGAGTTTGTGTATGGGGCGAGAGAGGCGGTGTTGAGTTATGGAGAGAATGCTTTGTATCTCTCTACTATGGGAGACCCAATCACGGGCAAGGCCAAGCTGGAGTATGTGAGGAGTTTATTTGAGATGGAGAAGTTGCCGTTTGAGCTGGGGTGGAGGCCGAGTGTGCTGCCGACGACATTGCCCAGTTTGGGGTTGATGATTGTGCAGTTGCAGTCGAGTTCACCGGAGCCGTTACTGGAGGGCGTCAAGATTGTGGCGTAAGTATTCCTCCTGACTGTTTGGTAGTGTGGGAGGTGTGTGCTAACGGTTGCTGCTAGGGATTCGTACAAGGATGTGTTCTTTGCTATTGTTGGTGGGTCGAATATCTTGGGTAACCTTACCGGAGGTATCAGTGAGGCGTTGGGATTGTAGTATATGCTGCTGCGTCGGTGTTAAGGAGTAGGCTACGAATCGAACCTTATTCATTCATCGTGCGAAGCCCATCCGTGTCATCTCCTCCGCATAACTGTTAAGATGCGGGCGTTGATGTGCCGCATGTGTTGGCCACTGTACTGGCAACTGTCTGTAGTAGCCAAATCCTGGCTGCCATGGGATATACTGCTGCTGGTACCGAGCATGATACTCAGGCGCATACATCGGCTGGGCAGCATGGTATTGCGAGTACCCCGGTGGTGGTTGAGGCCGACATTGCTGATACGGAGGCAGTTGTTGACCCTGCGACCACTGTGTATGCTCCTCAGGATACCAATGAACGAAGCTCGGCCGCGTGTAGTTCTGATGTCGTCCCCACAATGCGTATAGACGTTGTTGCCACTGGCTCTGGTACGCATGGTAGTTGTCAGGCTGCCTCCTAATCCTCCCGGGCGCGTCGTGGACAGCTTCGTGGGTAGCAGGGGAGATTGGATCGTAGCTATCAGCCCGTTCGATCATTCCCTCCAAGTCGGCGGCGATCCGCTGTTCGCGGCGCGGCTTTGGTGTGTGGATGATAGTCTTGTAATCACCGCGCCCATCAACTTCAGTAGGATCAGATGAAACCTGCGTCGGCAGCGTTGACTGATTCCCACTGGATGCCTCAGAGCTCGATCCAGAGTTACCAAAGTATAGTGAAAAAAGGTCGGGATGTTGCGCCCAGTATCGTTTAGTCTTGTCGGTAGTTTCGTCGAAATCTTGCCTTGTTTGATCAGACATGTTGCTGAAATACTTTTCAGCCATACATGCCGGCGATTCGCGGATCAGCTGCAAAAAGGATTCGTGCTTGCGGGCTGCCTGGAATTCTGGGCAGTCTTGGTGGTCTGGCTTATCTGGGTGAATTTGCTCCACGACAACAGCCTCATGCTCTTGCACGACAGGCCTGTTGATGAGAGCGGCCTGGTTGCTCTTGGAAGCTGGGAGTTGAGAGGACATGATGCTGGTGGATGCGTGTTCTGTTTTCGAAAGTGTAGTCGCGTGATGTTGGTATGCGCGTGGTTGAGAAAGTGTCTGGTTTGGTGAGTGCACTTGGATGAAGATAGTCTGAAAGTCTTGGAGGGAAAGTGAACAAACAACTACTTTTACTGTGAAATGTGAGAGTTATTATATACATATCGCAATGCGAAGACAAAAGCTGCACTAACGCAACTATGGTTGACCTGCGTTACATTACCCAATGCTGGACAGTCACTTATGCTGCCACAGTAAGCAAGTCTGGCATTGTGAGGATGCCTTGTAAGCTACCCCTGGGACAGAGTTGAGAACCGAGGTAGCCGAAAAGAGTGGGCCACCAACCGGAGCGCAAGCTTACAAAGGACACGTGACGAGCAGTGTAATCGCGTGGTATAGTCACGAAGAGACTGCAGAAAGTAAGTAGAAAGTTTGATTCAATTATGAGAGATTCCAGACTTTTCAAATTCCAGAGCAGTCGATATCAGACGCCGAAAGAAAGGAAACAAATGGGTATCAAGGCTGGAGAGAAACGCCGCACGCTATGCGTGATGAAAACCGAGAGTGCAACGAGAACAAGACAAGAACAGTGCAACAGCATAATGGAAATGAAACGAGGTCCGCAAACCTGCTTCCGGTCATACTATGACCAAGTTTGAGGAGCGACCTCGTCTCCGAGAGAACAAGAGTCCCAAAAGCCTGGAAGGCTGCCGGAGCGACCGATGTGGGATGATATCCATCTGGAAATCTCCCTTCACTCGCCAAAGCGTTGACGCTGGCGACGTTTCGCCTCATAGTCCGCGTTGAACTGGTCCAGTAGGCCCGGAGCTTCGTCGCATGTCGCAAAACGAGAGGGCGTGTTGGGTCCTGGCTGGTCTACATCTAGCGCACCACGCGGAATGCCGTACGCCATGTGGAGATTTGTGATCCGGCGCTTGTTGAAATGCTTCACCGAAGCCATCACGATACGCTTCTTGTGATAGTCGTACCGAGCAGTGTTGCTCTCCAACGAGGTGTCAGAGTTGCGACGGTTGGCGGCCTTCTCTTCTTCGCTCTCGTATGAGCTTGCATCTGAGCTTGACTCTGACGGTGAGGCAGCACTGATCATGTTGGTGAAGTGGCCTTCGGAGACCACTTGGTCTGCCTGGAAGCCATATCCGAGCAAGATCTCACCATCGTGACCGCGGGGGAAGATGAGAGAGCAACCTTCGAGCTCCCATGTTATTTCGCTCATTTTTTGGAGCTCGCCCTCTACTTCAGTCATGTCGTCCGCATCACCGATAGGCTCCAGTGGCTCGCAGTACGTCTGATCAGCGCTGGAAAGCGTAATGTCGTGGATAATTGAAGTCTCGATGGATGAGGCCCAACCAAGGACGATGTCTCGCTTACGCTGGGGAAAGATGTTCTTCAGCGCGACTGGGTCATTGAAGTGATGCTCCCCTTCGTCATCACTGTATTCGCTGATGATGTCGCAGATGCAGGTATCATCCACATCGGCAACATGCTTGCTGTTACGCAAGATGGCGCGCATCTTGGCCTGTAGAAGAAGGATGACGCTGCGGTCGTCAGATTCCAGGATTCGGGGGATATTCAATTCCTTCAGAGAGATCTTGCGCAAGGCCTTGTGTTCTTCCTCAGTCATCGCGACGTCAGGAATTAGATCTTCGATCTTGACCTGCAGCAGGCGACCAGGTTCCAGAAGCGCAGCTGCGTTTAATTCAGCTTGCATCATCTTCTCGGCCTCTGGAGGCGCGTCGCGGCTCGCGGCGTGAATAGCAGCGCGAAGCCTCTTCGCGGGTGGTGCTCCTTTATGCTTGTTGACAACAGGGAAGACTTTCCTCAGGAGTATCTCATGCGCAAAGATATCGCTGTCGGGGTAGTCTTCCGAAAGTTCGAGCGCGACGTTGAACCAAGGCCTCAGAAGATAGAACTCTTCGTGCCATGGCGGGACGACCGGGAAGTCGGGGTTCTCGAGGAGCTTGGCCGCGAGAAGGCTGTAGTCCTTTTCCGCGACACGGCCGGCGGGGAAGTCATCCAAGCAGAGGTTGAACTTGTTATGGCGGCTCATCTGGTCAGCTGTGTGAAGCTTGACAGGAGACGAGTGTGTGGGTAGCTCCGGGGCATGTAGAGCCCCCATCTCCAGTGCTAGCTCGATCTCGGACGCTACTGCACGAAGGGTCGCGGAGAGGCTATCGTGGGGTATGCGAATTAGGTTCACCAAGATGTGATCCCATGCTTCTCGATCGACCTGGGCCACAAGGGTGGGGGCCACAAGGGTGGTGGATGCGAGGGGAGTCGAACGCAGAAAGCTTGTTGCGCTGAGAATATCCTCCAGTGCTGGCGCTGTCAGTGTCTTGGCCTATGAACTACATTTGAAGATCGGCGTACCTTTCGTCTGCTCCTGCTCCAACTTCAAGGCGACTGTTGCAGCGCTCACTGTCGTCTTGCTCGGAACTGACCAGACTGAACCTAGGCGCCGAAACTTGGCGTAAGAAGACAGTCCAGGGGCGCGGGTTGAGCGGGTGACTGTCTGGCGAAGATATGTCTCCGCAGGGGGTAGAGCGCCAGTGCGACTACCACGCGCGCCAAATGGACCGCTGGAATGCTCGAAGATGGTGTACGCATTGCTGAAGAAGTACGGCGCGGCCGGAAGAGAAAAGCAACTCGCGCGTAGACCGAGGTGAGCCATGTCGGCGGTCTTGTCGGGTCACAGAGAGTGGTGGATGTTTTGACGACTCGCGCGAGTGGTGAGACGGTAGAAGCTGTTGTTTGTATATATCAAAGTTCCAAGCGCATGATCTAGGCGTCGCTGGGAACTTTCGCAGTTCTGGGTTAGCGTATCGTAATGAAGTGTACACTTGAAAGGGGCTCGTGCTTTCTGACGTAGGTTGAAGTAGTGAATTCTGAGCGGAACCTTCAAAGAGTGCACAAAAAGGATTATGGATCGCGTGACCATACAACCACGGCTGCAAAGGGCGCTTATACTGGCGCGCAGCCTATGTCAGTCGCACAATGGACGCAGTCTCTGGAGTAGGAATATGGACTGTGCAGCATATGCTTGCTATCATACAGTCTTTACTTTACCAGAACAGTTGCGCTGCTGTTTGCTGTAGACACTTCAGACCTATCGGCTTGCTGACGCTGTTTGTGAAGAGCTACTCTCCCATGGACTCCTTGGAACCAACGGTAGACGCATACAGCGCACAGGTCATGCTCGCGGTAGCCATTCCCTGAAGACGCCGTCGATTATATGGAAGCCTGAAATTCCATGATTGCGACATGTTTAGCGTAAACGTGAAATCTGGCCTTCTTTCAAAGTCAGGTGTATGGGAAACATGTAATCGATCCGAATATTGGTGGTGTTCACCTCGCGGTAGGCAGCAAGGTACCGGCAGAATTCCGAAGTCATTTCCAGTCATATCCATGCTCTTTACAAAGTTGGCTGTTCGCTCATGATAGCATCTACGAAAACATGGTTTACGTGTCCACCCAAACTTCGAATGGGGAGCGAACGCGATCGGGCAGCTTCAGCTGTGCTCGTTCCTGAGGCATGCTTGAGCTATGAAGGGTTATGGGCTTCTCTATTGAAGATGCACTCTTGAGCGTAGTAGGCAAATGTTGCGCCAGGACGGCAGCTGGGTGTAGTTAAAGAGACAGGAGGAAGCTACCCGTGGACCCGTGGACGCTGGGTTGAGGTTTGCCGATGACGTCATGGGCAAGCGCCGGCATCACCCGGCACCCTTGGCCGCTTGAGGGCAGTCGCGACTACCAGACACGTCCTTTACGCTCCTATTGTACCGTACACATGTATTTGTATCGTTGCGACAGCCGTAAATGGCCTCAATTACTGGGATGCTCTGATCGCAGCGCACCTGCAGGCCCACGTGGGAGACCACGCCGCCACAACTCACGAAACAAGCCATCATCGCATGTCTAGCTGCACAAAACCACGAAGGGCTTACTGTCTTTTCAGATACAGCATACAGAGATATCAAAGCATTTGCCAAAAGTTGCCTGCTTCGTCATTTGGTGTTGTCGCGGTCAGGCTGCCACCAGACGCGTTCACGAAGTGTGAAGCGTCCACGGGTATCTCCACAACAACCCAATGTGTACGTTGTCGCGAGTTCAGATCCAACAATCGCACAGTACATTTCAGTTGTTTTGTGTCTCACAAAGTTTCGATTACTTACTAACCTGATCAGCATTCACGGCATCGACGCATGCTTGAGACACTACAGTACATGCGGAGTACGATAACGATACGAGCCTGCGAATCTCACAGCCCTTCAGATGATCGAAGTAGCTCTAGGTCAACAAAGTCTATTGGTGTAGACTTGCAGATCAGCCAGGGGTATATGTACGCTCAACACTCGTTTCGCCGCCGATTGATGATCTGAGTATGCCAGCATGTGGCACAGGTCAGTTAGCCAGCCAATCGCCACCGTAGAGTTACGCGCGGGGTACTCAACCTTGCTCAAACATGGCACAACAAGTACAAATAGAGGCAAATCTGCATATTAGCCCGGTCAATGCATGGGTCAGGCTGTACACATGACAACCTCGCAGGTCTTCATTAGGGAACGATATCGCGACGCGTGTTCGCTATCTACAGGGCCTCTCCTATCGCACAAATCGTCAGTACTTCACTGATGTCAAAGACTCAGCATTCATTCTTCTTCTGATCTAGTGAAAAGAATGAGTTACACGATGTCCTGTCATGCCGACGTTAACAGCGACTCTCCCCGTGCCTCACGATTCTCTACGCATTCCAAAGCCGCCGACGCTTTCAGATCATACTCAGAGTATCTCGCACATCTAAAGTTAACACCTAGACCGCATCATCTCTTCAACAAGGAGTGTTTGTGGTTAGCGAATTTCAACGAGCATGGCTGTTATATGAAGGCTTCTTGTTGTTACCCGAGCAATGAAACTTCCATGAACACGCCACGAAACATACCTGGCCCAGGAGAGGATGGTCTTACGCCGAAAACGTCGGTTGTGTCTCCCGCAGAATTCCAACACCTGTTGCAAGCACCGGAGGAGAAAGAAATATCATACAAGGTAGTTATGGCAACATCGGGGACAATGGGAACATCGGGGACTTCTGGGTATTCGTCTGAAACATGGGACATTATTGGCCTTGGTCTTGACCTGGAACCGGAAATTCTCGATCATGCCATCATTCCCGGAGAGGCAAATACTCATTCACGCCATGAGTTTCCCCTACCCTGGTTCAAAGACTGTTCTGCTTTGCGTGTAGGCCTCAATACCTTGTGCGTTTTAGATGTGAAGCCAGGGGTGAGGTGCAAGACCGGTATATCTAGAGACACATCTCCATTAATCCGACCTGCTAATCATATGCGCAGCTCTCATATTCATGACGGAGAAGGCGGAAGGCCTATACCAGGGCGAAAGTGAACCCAAATTGTATACTCCGGTGTACCCCCACGGCTCGATAATGTTCCCGTACAAGAAGCCATCTCAGATCCAGGAACTGCCCCGCGATCAACATAACCACGATAAACCACGCAACTACGACACTTGGCTTGTTCAAAAGTATATCACTACAGCAGAGCATTCGAAGAACATCTTTAAACCCGGCACCTTCCTTTATATTTGCTTGGCTGCACTGCTAGAACTCCATCTCTCTTTTGCGCCTATGCACGTGGTTGACATTAGTACGGAAGGCTTAGGAGTCCGGGTACCTCTCAAATATCGCGGCTATTACGACGTGACTACCCAAAAATTCTCCGCTCAACACATAGATCCGGAACGTGGATGGTCTCGGTTAAGAGGAGAGCTCGATGAAGAACGGGCTACGCTTAGCTGGATGACCCGCTTCTTCCGGAAATACTTTGACCACGACGACCAAGATCTTCAAGCTGCTTTTGGAGACATTAAGGAGCAGTTCGAATTACGAGTGCAACGTATGGAACGAGCCGAGGCACAGCTCAGAGACCACATGGCATCGCGAGGCATAAGCCAGAGTTGCCGCATGGCGGAAATGAGCATCCGCGAGAGCAAAAGAGTAATGCTGTGTAAGCCTTTGAGATTCGAGAAATTGTTGATCATGCTGACCAGCCTTCAGTAACAGCTCTCGCATTTGTGTTCTTACCTGTCTCCCTTGCCTCCTCTATATACGGCATGGTATAGCCTCACTGGTTCCTAATACTTAGTTTTTTACTGATCGCTATTGTAGAACGTGCAGCAGATCAACGGTACCGGTCAATCCATCAAAGCCTTCTTGATCACAGCGTTTGTAATGTGTGCATCCGCAGTAGCGGTCTGGGCTGCATTTGCTGAGTTGCAACGTTACAAAGCCCGTTTAGCACTTCAACGACAGTACAACTCAGGTGCCTGGCTGACATGGCCATGGCACATCAAAGTGTTGATGAATGGGCCTCGCGCAACGTGGGCTTTATGGAAAGACTGGCACCAACCTTGGCCAGCTGATGAGTAACAGCCTGCAAACGGGAGAGTGATGTATTTATGTTCTAGTGGTACCTGGTATGAGGAAGTCGTGTATGTATCTCGTTCTGAAAGGATCGTGCCTCATTTCTCATCTACGGGCAAACAATGCCCAAGCATCCAAGCAAAGCACACCGTACGACGTATTTCAACATGTGGGTGATGCCCGCAACGACCGGCTAACGTCAATGTTAAGACTGGAGTAGACATCAAAAAGGGAGTCGCTAGTCCGCCTGCCAACACTCCAAGAACTCTTCTCACAGCTCCGCCACAGAACGTGATCAACATTGTCAGTCAGCCACGAAGGCGGAGTTCGGGCCATGTACCTCCGTGGTGTATCCTCGTAGAAACAATATGGCGCGCCAAGTATCCCTTGCCACGCTGTACATCGTCAACTGTAAGACTCGGGCTTACCTCGTAGAAGCGGTGAGGCTGTTCACATTGAGCGACGAACACGGCGGGCAGTGTTGTTATCAGTGAATCTCGTCCGCGCACTTGGCAGTCCGCGACGTACCGGAGTGAAGCGCTCAAAACGAACTTTTTGATTAGACCAGTTTGAATGATCTGCAAGCGGTTGTTTTGACGTGCATGGGCCACTCCAGACTCAGATTGGACTTGGCGGGCAAGCGCGACGAGGTGATGACATCATCAGCTTTGGCTGAAGCGCGCACCGAGGCACACATGTTCAAAACTCATGAGGTTGGTGAGAATGCGATATAGATATTCTGAATCAAGTCTCTGCAGTTTCTGAGACAGCGTGGCGATTAGTGAGGGAAATATGTGACGATATGCTCCACTTCCCCTGGGCAACCTGGCAGCTCCCGAGCTAAACCATGCGCTGGTACCCGCTTGGCGTCTACACAGCCTACCTCACCAACCACCTCGTCATCTCAACCGGCCAGGAAAACAGCAAGCCAGCACTGCCCTCCTCCCCCTCTCGATAACTAACCACTTTCGCCGGGTCCTCGCTGCGAAGACACAACCTCAAAGCATTTGCCAATTCTCCTAGCCTGTCTTCCGCCAATCGCAGGGCGTGCATTCGGCAGCTACCTACCAGACCAGCGAGCTTGGCTTCGACAAGTCATATACTGCTAGCTTTCCCGCGCCGTGCGCATCTGACTCTTCTCCCGAACAGCAATGAGTGAGTAACAATGGCCCTTTTGATTCATTTTCCCGCACGCGGCAGTTAGCCGGCCTTGTCATAGTCGCTTCGCGCAGCCTTGGTATTTGGATCGACCCTACAACACCATCGTTGTTCGGCTTTCCTAACCAAACCTCCATCGCCGCCGACCGACCGACCGGGGCGCAGCACTGCACCATCATCAACTTCCATCGCGCACTCGGCCCACGAATTATATATCGCTAACCTGTGCCCTTGGCAGAAAACATAAAGCAGTCTTTCCACCGTCACGGTCGAGCACAGAGTTATCACCGTCACCAGCAGCAAGCCATGCCCCAGCCCGCCAACGGCCGGCTCCACGATGAGCACACCCCGCTCATCGGGCGCACCCAGAATTATGAAGACGAGTCGCGCGTCAAGACTATGCCCAAGCATGTCTTGCATTTGATCTACGCGACACTCGCCAGCAACTACGTCAACGTCTTCCTCGTCTTTGTGCCGCTCGGCATCATCGCCGGCGCATTGCACTGGAACCCTACTGTCGTCTTCGTCCTCAACTTCATCGCTATTATCCCTCTTGCAGCACTCCTGAGTTTCGCGACTGAGGAGCTATCCGCTAAGCTTGGCCAAACTCTTGGTGGTTTGATGAATGCGACATTTGGAAATGCCGTCGAACTCATTGTAAGCTTCCGCGCGCATCCATTGCGCTGCAACATTGACTAACCGCAACAGGTCTCTATCGTTGCGCTCAAGCAGGGCGAAATCCGAATTGTCCAAGCCAGCATGCTGGGCAGTATTCTGTCCAACATCCTCCTTGTGAGTCAAGTCATTCTATTACTCATACTTCAGCGCTGACTGTGACCAGGTGCTCGGATGCTGCTTCCTCGCCGCGGGTCTGACTCAACACGAGAGCCGATTCAACGAGACCGTCGCATCCACCATGTCATCGCTCATGGCCGTCGCATCCGCCTCGCTCATCATCCCCGCCACCCTCTACGCTGTTATGCACGGTGACAACAAGAAGGACAACCTCGAGACTGACAAGAACATCCTGGTCCTCTCCCACGGCACTGCCATCATCCTGCTCATCCTCTACATCCTATACCTCTACTTCCAGCTCTACTCCCACCACAGCCTCTTCGCTGATGTCGAGAACCAAGAGGGAGGCGGTGAGGAGGAGGAAGCCCAGATCTTGTCTCCTGTCGCTGCCGGTGTTGCGCTCGTCATCGTTACCGTCCTTGTCGCTATTTGCGCCGAGTTCCTCGTTGATAGTATCGACTCGATTGTTGAATCCGCGCACATCAGCAAAACTTTCGTTGGTCTGGTCTTGATCCCCATTGTCGGAAACGCTGCCGAGCACGTCACCGCCGTCATCGTCGCATACAAGGGCAAGATGGACCTCGCTATCAACGTCGCCATTGGATCCTCTATGCAGATCGCTCTCTTCGTCACTCCCTTCCTTGTCATCCTCGGCTGGATCATGGGTCAGCCTATGACGCTCCACTTCCAGGGCTTCGAGACCATGATTTTCTTCATCTCGGTCTTGATCGTCAACTACCTCATCCAGGATGGAAAGAGCAACTACCTCGAGGGCGCCATGTGCATTGGCATCTACGCCATAATCGCGCTTGCGTTCTACATCTACCCCGACAACGCAGCTGGCGACATCACCGTTGATGTTGTCAAGCGCTTCTTCGCCGCCACCTAGAGCGTGCAAGCGTGCTAGCTGCAATCGATTCGCGTTCGCTGAGCGGCGCGATAAATCCCATTTCCTTTGTACAATCTATGTTCTGCTCTAATATATCTTGGCACAAGACTACAGAACGGAAGGGCCTCTTTGTTTTCCTATTTGCTACTGCATTTCCTTGGTTCTCTTAGTCTCCTTGTACGAGTATCTGTGGGGCGGTGCAGCTGTTCTTGGCGTTTTATCTACTTGTGGCAGTGCATCGGAACGATCGGCTGCCGAAAAGTGGAGTGTGGCTTGACGATCGAATGTGGTCTGAGCTTGGCAGGGACCTCATGTCGGTGGATGGAAGGATGAGGGGATTTGTATATGTAGGATCAAATGAACTGTCAAAAAATATTCACATGTTCTTATTGTCGTGGATACTCACGTTCTCAGGACAAGCTATTCAAACAACACTCCAACCCTCTTACTGGAGCACCAACCTCATCTTACCACCCCCTCACCGACCCGCCTTAGCAAACTCCCCCCAAGCCGCCGCCCAAACCAGATACCACGTCCTACTCGCCCCACCATCAATCCACCTCTCATCCCAAAACCCATCGATGCCATCCCTAAAGAACGAGTAACTCGCTCTCGGATCAATCAAAGCAAGATTCGCATACAAAATCCCGCGCCACCCTCCCTCTACATTCGCCCGCCCTTCCGTGAAAAACGTATCCCATTCCTCTCTTACAAACCCCCGGGGCCGGATCAGACTGGTGCACGGCGAAATGGGGACGATGTGGATGCCGTGGATGAGGGAGGTTTCGAGACCGAAGTACGCTGTTTGAGTGTGTTAGTCCACAGTGGGTTAGACGGGGAGGCGCAGGGGGGTTTTTGATGTGTATGTGTATGTGTGTGTGGGTGTGGTAATGGGCCTTACAACAACAGCAAAAGGTACTATGACGGGCATACGTACTCGCGTGATCGATTTTATTCTCAAACAGGATGCCTGCGACTTTGTTCTGCGTGTAGCGGTTTGGGTGGTTTGTGTTGTTGGAGCGGATGTACATGTAGGAATTGAAGCAGCGGGCTTGGATGGCGAGTTGGAGGTTTCCTGTTACCCATTGTCAGTCCACTTATGCCAACCCAACCCAACCCAACCCGTAGTCAATCTGGCAGATGGTAAGATGATAGGAGGAGATGCATACCCCTCTTCTCCATATTCGCATCCCCACTAACCCTCCCCCACATCTTAACCGCATAGCAAGAAAACGCATCTTCCCCCGTACTCTCCATATCCTTCCCATCCGCACTCTCAAACAGCCCCTTCGCCCAACTATGTCCATGCCACCAGTCAAACGCGCGTTGAAAAGGGTAGTCCCGGCCGTTATAATCACTCTCCGCATAGTCCTTCACCAGCATATTCGTCCACGCCCTGTTATCCCCTTGGCTCAACCACTCGGGATCCAAATACCCAATCACAGCAGCTGTGTAGACAAAATACGCGTAGTGGAAATGATGGTCGTTGTAGTACGTATTCCCGAAATCAGCATTCGGGTCCGTGAAGCCAGCGGCGGAGACGACGCCTTTCCAGCTGTCGTCGTAGTAAAGCGGATTACGCTGTTGGTTTTCAACATAGCGTGCGAATTCTTGTTTTAGCTTGTCTAGGCCAGCGTTGGCGATGGCTTCGTGGTTCAACACATCTTTGATGACCCAGACGATGGTTGCGAATTTCGAGAGCGCTTTGCCGGCAAAATACATGGAGTCTTGTGGTATGCGGTCGGTCATTGCGCGGCGGAGGTCGCGTTCTGCGACGGCGGCGATGAAGGCGAGGACTTCGGGGGGATAACGCACTTTGGCGTTTGCGCTCATGGTGGGGTTCCAGGGGCCGAAGTGCATGGTTAGGGGGATGGCGGGTTCGATGAAGGTGAGCTTTTCGGCCCAGATGGCTGTTGCTATGCCTTTGGTGGTGGTGCGCAGGCGTAGGTTGGTTATTTGGTTTCGCATCTCGGGGTCGAGGGATTGGATGTGGTGCGGTAGGGCGAACATGAGTAAGGGTGAGTGGCCGATCTTTGTGTAGCGGAATGTGTAGATGCCTTTGCCATCCGGTACTACGGCGGTGAGTCTGGCTTCGCATACGAAGGCTCCGCAGGCTCTGTCGTACATGGCTTCTCCTTCTGCGCCGAGTGGGTTCTTTGCTACTTGGATCGTGCCTTTGAAGGCTGGCGGACCGACAAGCGTGTTGGCATTGATTCTGGCGAACTTTGTGGCGTCGTAGTCGAGGCTCGCTACTGGGTTGATGTACATGGCCCAACACGCTCCGTCCTTGTCTTTCAGACGATACTTGACTGTGCGGCCCATGATGATCGGTCCCACCACGTCTACGAAGCCACGACCGCCAGTCTGTATCATAGGCGTTGCATCTCGATAGCCAGCTGTGACGAAGCTCATGCCTTGAACAACAGGGAAGATAATTTTAGGTTCTTTAGGCGTTGAATGCGCGTTGAGGTTGATGTTGACGGAGAAAGGGAGATGAGTGTCTGTGGTAAGGGTAGTGCGAGCATCGAGTTCGACGGCGCTGAGGACAAGGTGCTGTTTGTGTAGCGGGTTGATGTAACCCTTCGCAGGGTGTCCCGGTTCGAAGACCAAATCCTTCTCCTCAATATGGCTCACGCACATGCCCCATGTTTGCACCGTTCCCACATCCGATGCCGACTTGCCCCACCATATCGAGTAGGGATGTGTCCAAATAGGCTGGTTCTGCTGACCTAGGAATGCGTTGGCGTAGAACTTGTTCGTGTGCAGAGTCGTCTTGTCGTCATCCTCCACCCCCGTTCTAGGAACTGGGTGATGACGGCCAATCGGTATCTGCGGAAGAATGCTGTCTTGCTGTATAGGCGTGAAGATGTTATCGGGAGGTATCTCGTCGGGAACGGTCGAGCCGTTGTAGCCTAGTGAGGTCTTGATGCCTCTGCGTGTGTCGCGCAATGTTCCGAACCAACTATCCTTTTTGCTAGATTTCGAAGACTTCGAAACCGGTCGGGGGTCGCCGACGCGCGATTGCGATGGACCCATCGACGCTATCTTAGGGGTCTGGAAAGGGAGCTACCTGAGCCGAGTGCTCGATGTGAACTGCGTGTCAGTCTTCTCCGTGTATGCTCGTAGGCGTGAAAGTGATCGCGTATCAATACAGTTAGTAGACAAGTAGGTGGGTAGCGGTGATATCGGTTTAGGTTGCAGGATGCGGTCTGCAGGCTGCGAATGACCCATTGTCTGGTGTTACTGTCGCGATGGGCGCAGTGAGGACTGGGAAGTGACGCCTGGCCAGTTTGCTCAATACCACGAGGTTTGCGCATTTGCGCGGTCAAACGGTCGCACCACGGCGGCATTGCGAAGGAATGTACGATGTATCAATGAGTAAAAAGAAGAAAGAAAAGGGGAAAATGACGTGCAGCGGTGGATCGTGACAAGTGACTCTATAGGGAAAGGTTGAAGGATGGGGAAGTCACGATGTCAGTGGAAGAAGGAGCTTTTCCACGTGGCTTCCAGCGGTGACTGTCAGCACATGACAGACAAGTAAGATTGAAAAATTGATCCGCTTCCATTGCAAGGCAAGCGAATCTTTGCCTAGTACCGTCCGCTCATACCAGCGGTTTCCGCAGTGGCGCAATAACACCCTGCTTAACAATAACCCTCGGTCTCGTAGCGTCTTGATGCGTCTTCTTCGTGACCCACTCCTTGCCCTTCGGCACGCGCAAACTCCTCTCATACTGTTCCCTGTTCTCGAAAGGGAACGGTAGCTGGCTAGCCATGTACTTGACATTAGGCTTCTGTCTCTTCTCATTGATGATGACCTTGTCCATTTTCCGGTCCTTCCGCCTATCGGCATCGATACCGGGCTTCTTAGTGACTGTTTTGGCGCCAAGGTTACGCTTCTTCTCGGCCTTGGACATGCCGTCGCCGGTCCAGGAGCCCCAGCCAGGGAGGATAGAAACTTCTTCTGTTGCTTCTTCATCTGCGATGGTAGCTTTCTTTTCGGCGTCGAAGTCGGCTTCGACGTCATCACCGGCGAAGCCCTTCGCTGTGAGAGCTTGGTTGCGCATGACAACGTCAAGATCGATACCTTCGTCTTCGATGCCTTGCTCGTCCATGTCCTCGTCTTCTTGGCCACCAATGACAGTCGCCCAACCATCGTCATCGGCCGTGGTGACGCGTTGCTTCAAGAAGTCGTCGACCTTGGTCTCTTGAGGTTTGGCCGCTTGCTTCGACTTCTTTTGAGGTTTGGCTTTGGGCGTAGGCTTAGAAGCGCCGGCCTTAGCTTGCGTAGCGGTGGTCGTGCTACTTGTGGCTGGGAATAGCTCAGGCTCTGTTGTGGCTTTCTTCTCCTTCTTCGCCTTAGTCAAGAAAGGGTTGGACTCTCCGCTGCCATTCTCTACAGGTGCGGCAGCCCTGCGCTCTTTGCGGGCACCATTCGAAAGACCGCTCAAGCCGTTGTTTTTGGTGGGCTTCCTAGATGATGCTGTGTCCGCGACAGACTCTTTGCCTTCCGCGTCCGGGTTAGCTTCGTTCTCTGCGTCGGAACCTTCGTGCTCCTCGAACTCGCTGCGATTGATCTGTATAGCCGGAGCTGACACGTCCGCGTTGGGACCGTATCTTCTCCGTCCTGCCTTGGTAGCATTCTCATCGATTTCGGCATTGTCGCTGTCTTCGCCCGCAAGCTCGCGTCTAAGGGCTTCAACAGCTTCGTCGTTCTGTGCGCGTTTCGCAGCCTCGGACTTCTGCATAAAGGCCATCTGACCGAGCTTAGACTCCTTAGTCGAGAAGGGGTTCGACTTGAGCTTGCCGAGAGATTGTTGTAGTGCGTCGTTGTCCGATTGGTCGTCGTCATCGTCGCTCTCTTCCTCCTCGCTTGGCACATCAGATGCTTCTTCATCGTCATCGCGCACGGTCTTGCCCTCAACGCGACGACGAAGCTCCTCGTTCCGTCTGGCCATCTCAGTCACACCATCGAGCGCATCTTGATCCCAGTTCGCTCTTCCAGTAGCCTTGATGCCCTTAGCCCACTTGCTCTCGCGATGCTTAGCCCCCATGCGTTCCTCGGCTCTCCGGCGATCATTGTATTCACGCTCTTCCTCGGACAGATCAACACCATCGGCCTTGAGCTGCTCACGTTCCTTCTCCAGCAGCTTCTCGCGCTCCCTGCGGTGCACTCGCCGATAAGACTTGCTCTTGATCTTCTTGATGCGCTTGGCGCGAACCTCTTCACGGAATAATAGCTCTCGTTGCATTCGCAGTTCAGCGCGTCGCCTGAGGACCTCCTCGACTGGTAGTTTGTTCGTCTGGAGCTCTTCCCACTTTTGTATCTTCTCCTCGTCTTCCTTGCCGTTGGATAGCCCGCTCTGCTGGAGGATGGACTGAATCGTACTTTCGAGATCATTCGTAGGTGCGGCGGTCGTTGTTGGAAGAAGTGTCTTCTCTCCCATGTCACCCCCGGTAGGGTTCTGGAGAGGGAACATCAAATGTTCGGCGCGGCGGTTTTGCTTGATAGTGTCGGTCCACCGCTCGAGAGTCTCGTTCGCTTTGGCGTTGGCTGCTGCGCGATCGAGCTTGTCTTGCTGTCGCTTCGGTAGAGGTGCATCTAGTTTCCTAGCAATGTCGTTTCGTTTCGATGATTTGTCGTCTTGCAGCAGCTTGAGCGCCTTCTTCTTCTCCGCGTCTGCGACCTTGGGCTTGAAGCTGAGGAGATCGACTTTGCGGGAAACACCAAACTCGTCCGGTGCAGCCGACTCATGGACGTCCACTCTCCTGCCCTTGGGTTTGTCATCTTCCCGCGAAGCCAACGAAGAGATCAAGTTCTGCAATTGCGCCTGGCGGTCATCCTCATCTTCTTCGTCGGACGAGAGGTCAGATGCGCCATCTGCTGCGGGGTCTTCGCCTTCGCTTGGTTCCGAGTCGCTGTCGTCGAATGCGGAGGCCTTCTTCTTCTTCTCTTTTTCCCTTCGCTCCTCGGCCTCATCCTCCTCGTATTGATCCAAGGCGGTAGCCAGATCGATAGCATCTTCGCCAAGATCGTCCTCGTCTTCCTCTTCTCCGTCTGCACTGTCGCCCTCGTCGAGATCGATGTCGCCATCCTCGTCCATCATGTCTTGTTCTCGTTTCGACTTCTTTGCCTTTCCCTTGTGGTTCTTGGAACTGCCTCTGAACGTGTAGCCTTCGAAGCGTTCTTCGTCGCTCTCACCGAACGCCTCGTCCGAATCGATGCTCTCGTCATCGTCGTCGTCTTCAACGTGACCCATCTGCCAGGTGTTGCCCTCGGAGTCGCTTCCTTCGTCGTAGCTCTCGTCACCAGACTTCTTCTTGCGCCGTTTGGGTCCATCTTCCTCGTCCTCGTCCTCATCATCCTCTTCGTCGTCATCGCGCGCGCGCTTGCGGTTGAAGGCGGGGTCGAATTCGCCTAGGCGGTTCTTGCGCACTTTCGCATCGTCGGGATTCTCGTACTGGGCGATGGAGAAGGCGTCGAGAGCGCGCTTCTGCGCTTTCTTAGGGTTTCGCGATTTCGCATTGCCTTTGCTTGAAGCGCCACCGCTTTGAATCGAGCTGCGTGCTACTCGGGGCGGCATTTTGGCGTTGTGGTTGAGAGGCAAGGCGGCGGAGCGACACACAGAACTTCTGGGTTTGCACTTTTTTGACGCACGGGCCACGCCCACCTCCGCTCCAAACTCCGCAAACGCCTCGAAGATTGATGTCGGCCATCATCGACGTCGTCGCATCGCTCGCTCCAACGGCAGGGTCCCGCTAAACCGCCGCCATGCAACCCACGGCTTCTCTCCAGAAGATGCTGCGGCGCCTGCCGCTTTCACCCAAACAGGCCGGCAAGGAATACTACAAGGGAAACCGCGTGGGATCCATGGGCACAATCAACCGATACGGAAACTTCACACCCGACTGGAGCAAGATACGGACATATATGTACCCAATTCACGGCACACATAACATCGAGGTGCGTACAATGATTTGTTTGGCTTGCGACAGCTGGGAAGACATTGTAGAGATCTCGTACTAACATCTGCTTAGTTGACACCCTTCGTAGACTCCAGTCTAGAAAAGGTGCGAGGACTCGACGTCGGCAAGGCGGAGAACTACGAAAAGCGATTCACCGGCGAAGACTACTTGAGGGCGTGGAAGCTGGCTGGTGGACATGATCTCGTGGAGACAGGGAGTGAAGCGGTAGCCTCAGGCAGGAATATACCGACACCATTCGAGGAGAGACCTGCGACGAAGTCATGAAGACGGCTGAGAAGGGGCAAGGGCGATTGCGATATCTTGGGTTCAAGACTGAGAGGGAAATGATACGAGAAAGCGTTGGAACACACCCCGATGCTATAGGGAAAGCCTTGTGCATGCGCACCATTGCGCCGAACACAAACGTAGCGGGGCGCTTCGCATAACGTTGCTACAGCGCCGTGTATGAAGACTTCGAGGAAGCATAGTGTACGTAAAAGCCAGGCGGCTATGATGTTGTATATATTGTACATTACTTGGGTATCATATGCTCCCATCTGACCATATCACTTACACATCACATCATATCACCACACCCCTCATCACCCCCTCCTCAACCTTCTCTCCTAACACCAAAGAAGTAATTCCCCCACTGCTGACTCCCCGCCACCTCCTTCCACCCCAACCCAGGCACATACACAACACCCATACACTTGACATTCCCCCAACCCGGTTGTTTCGCAAACCAACTCCTCAACTCCTCTTCGTTGACGTATTTACTCCACTCATGCGTCCCCTTGGGCACAATGCCCAAAACATCCTCTGCAACCACATTCGTAACTACCCAGCTCGTCCACGTCCGCGCGATGGTGCTCATTATCAACCAGCCACCAGGCTTCACATGCGGGAGGACGTGTTCGAGGAACGGACCTGGCGCGTTTACGTGCTCGATTACTTCGAACAGCGTGACGATGTCGAAGGCTTCTGTGTCTGTTTTCGGACGCGGTAGATCTTCGATAGACGTATTCAAGTACGAAAGTTTCCCCGGCGAGGTAAGTGTAGGATCGCGTCGCTTATGCGCTTCAGCGATAGTGAGGACTTGTGGTGTGGGATCGATTGCTGTAACAGAGGTGGTGGTGGGTAGGCGCGCAGCTGATTCGGCGAAGATGCCGCCGCCGCAGCCAATGTCTAGATATCGTAGTTTCTCAGACGGGTTTGGTGGGGACGTCGAAGAGCGGCATGAAGTTATGAAGTCGTGGCGAAGCGGGTTCATGAGGTGGAGCAGGCGGGAGGGACCGTGGGGGTCCCACCATGATGATGCGAGCGCGTTGAAGTGCGATACTTCTGTTGGGTCGACCGTGGAGGTGGAGTTGGGTGTTGGGTTATGGTGTCTGGGGGCGGTGGTCGATATGCATCGCGAGCTTGGTGGAGGTATTCGGAATGGGGATTGCTTGGTTGCTGTTCGACATAATGCGGTTTGTGGTAATCCTCGCCGTATCGAGCGCAGTGCTCTGGCTGTAGATTGTGGCTTCATAACGACAATTGAAGCTTGTTTGTGCCTGTGAGACGCGGTGCACGTTGCTGTCACCAAAACTTTGGATCTGCGGCCTCGGCCATCATCATTTCTTAGTCATCCCTTATCGATAAAGTGATCCAGCAACCCATCATTGTCATGCTTCATTTCATCTTCAAAATTATCCAACGATGGCTTGCTATTCTTTTGTCACGTCTATGAGCTGGACGATGGACCCAAATCTACCATTTCTGACTTAACACCGAGCACATTCTCTTCTCACACAGTCAGGCGCACGTTATCTTCTAATCATCGATCGTCACCGTCGTCGGAGATGAATATGACGTACATGATGCAATCATTGCTAATGGCAAAACAAATTCCAGAATGACGAAAATTTGTTAAACGACGTCAGCATGTAGAGCTGAAGGTCATTTGCTAATGCGTTGCGCTTACCTGGTAGACTTCGCCCGAATGAGCTCTTGTCAAGTCTAACCTATCTAGGACGAAAGGCGCATCTACATACAGCAGGTGTACTTAAAGTCGCGCCATCACAACTTCAAACTTAATCACCAACACCCTCTTCTCACTTGTAACTCTCCTCAAGAGTACAATTCTATTCGAAGCATCCAACATGTCTCATGGAAAATGGACACCCGAGAACTTTGGCTGGATTGCCGTCCCAAGGAATCGCTCCAACGTCCCGTCTGCTGAGGATGTTAAAGAGATGAACAATGATTTCTACTCAGACCCCATGGACGCCTGGCCCGTGACCGATGTGACGGACAAGGCGCGTGAGTATGCACAGCAACACCTTTCGAAGGAGACTTTCAATCACAGCATGAGGGTATTCTGCTACGGTACGTATTCTTCGACACCAATGCTCGCCATCGCCACAATAATGGAAACAACTATAAACTCATCGGGTCTACTAACACTACACGACAGGTATCTACATAATCCAACACTACTTCCCAGAATACCATTCTAAGGCCTTCTTCGAAACCTGGGCACTGACCTGCCTATTCCACGACATCGGCACGACCGACGAAAACATGTCCAACACGCACATGTCCTTCGAGTTCCAAGGCGGCCTTCTCGCTTTGACAAAGTTGCAGGAGTTCGGCGCTCACAAAATCCAAGCAGAGAGCGTTGCCGAGGCCATCATCCGCCACCAGGACCCTGGTGAGACGGGCACGGTCAGTGCGATGGTGCAGATGATCCAGATTGCTACTGAGTTCGGTAAGTCACACTCCCATTGTCGTTGTTTGTGTATTCAACTGACTGACATTACTCAGACAACATGGGACTACAACCACATCTTGTTGGCCGGGAGGTCATCGAATCGGTGACGGCGCAACTGCCTCGGATGGGCTGGTCGGGATGTTTCTCGAGCACCATTCTGAAGGAGATTAGATTGAAGCCTTGGTGCCACACTACGGCATTGGAGAACTTTGCCGAGTCTGTGGCGGGGAATGAGCTTATGAGACCTTTTGAATGAGCGGGGCGTGAATGAGGGCAAGGCATCAAGATGATGCGAAACGATGATATGTATAAAGAACACATGAGATTGCAGAGCTACAGTAGTTTTACAGAATCCGAATAGGCCAATTCAAGCTCGTTGCTTGCGAGTACAACACTCTGAGACCCGCCAACTCCCAACCCAAAGCCCCCTGCATCATAACCCAAAAAGTGGTGAGAGCCACTGGATTTCGACCCTCACCTCGGATCATTAGTATCAGTCACCGAATAAGTGACGCACCGATACGTGTATCTCCCAGCATTAAACTTGTTCTTGATAGTATTACACTCTTTAATCAATTTGCGAACCGCATACCGACAATCATCTTCATGCAATTTCCAGTCGTAACCTCTGCCACAACAATTAGCATCGCTGAAACACACATCAAGATGGAGAAAAAGACTTACTCGCACCACTTCATATCCCCATATGGTTCCTTCTCGCCTGTCTCCACCGTCGCTACATTCATACGCATATGCATGGGCGTATGGTCGTTCGGGTAGAAAGGCGTCTCGCCTTCTGGAGGATACATGAAGCCGTCGGCATTATTGCCGAATCCGTCGATCGTAGTGCCGTCTTTACACCATGCGCTGATCGCTTTTTCGATGTCGTCTGGGGCGATTTTACGGTTGGTAAAGGTTGTTTTCGGATCCCAACATTGAGTTGTATAGGGGTTGTTGCTGTCCTTGGCGGTCAAGAATTCTGGCGCGGGGAAAGCTGGGTGCTCGTTCCAGGGAGGGTTGTCAAGCTGCGTGACGCCGCTGAGGTCGAGGCTGTAGTCTATCGTGCCGACGGTAGCGGTGAAGCCGTGGGTGTTGTCGGAGTCGGGGTCGCATGTGCTCAGGCCGTTGGTGAGTGCGGCGACGCATTCGTCTTTCACGAAGGAAGCTTGTTGGTTGTTGCCGTTTGGCTTCGCGCGGAGCCAGAATGAGCGCCGATCGGGTACGTCGAGTTGGGTGATGCCCCAGCGCCAGTATACGTTGTCGGACACGGAGTTGGAACTGAATTGGTGACCATCGTTGTCGCCACACCAGGTCTGGATTGCTGACTCGACGCTTACTCCCCCGGATTCGGTCTTGTCGTTCTTTGGTGCGTCGAGCGAGCGCTTCAAGCACTTGACCGTGGAGTCGATCTGATGATGCGCGGTGAAGGAGTATGTGCCACAGCCGATGTCGATACCTCCGCTTCCCGCCAAGAACTTCTTGCCACCACCTACTGAACACGAATCCCTCTCCGTCAGTCCTTGGAAGGCTTCTTCACACGAGAATTGGCAGTCTGTGGCGTTGTCTCCAGTCTTGGGTCTCCACCACAAGGCGAACTTGTAGTCGCTAAAATCGTCCGAGGCGTCTCGTCTCCAGAAGCGTCGACGGTTCAGCTGCGATTGTTCTCCTTTCGCATTGACCATCCAAGTAACGTCTTCGGTTGAGCCATCGGCCTTCTCACAGAAGTCGGCGTAAGTGACGTTGAACTCCGAGACTGGGAACTTAGTGTCCTCGTTGGGCATACAGAAGCTGAATACATCTTTGATGGGAATCTGTGGCTGGTACGGAACGATCCATGGCTCCACTGTCATCGTTCTCACAGCGTAGTCAGTTGGTGTGGCAGTCGGCAAATCGGTCATCTTCGGACATTGTGTTGTGCATCTCTTGATCTGACCAATCATGCTACAAAATGCCGAGCATTCCTGTGTGCTGGATGAGCTCGAGCTACTGACAGTAGAGGTCATCGACGACGTCGGGGTTAACGACGTGATCGAGGGCGTCAGTGAAACTTTCACCATCTCCTTGAGCTCACTACCGGGGATGCGGATGGACGGGGATATTGGGCTTCCAGTAACTGACCGTTGATAGTTCACCATGAAGACAAAGAGTGCTATAAGCGTCGCTTCGTGCGCGTACAACATAATCTGGTCGGACATCTCTTTCGCCATGTTCATTACAAACTCCATTGCTTCTTGCACAGCTGGCTGTATCCAGGTAGGAATCTCGGTTGTCACCGCCCCCAATGAGTCAAGAGCTTCGAAGGCGGCACCTGGCGAGGCATTGAGGAGTACTTGCTTAGTGGAGCAAATCACTCCGGTGAGCTGCTCACTGAAGTCCAGACTACGAGCTCTTCGTGATGATGAGAATTTGTCATCAATAGTACATTGCTGACTTCTGTCGATCAATTCTGTCATTCGCTTTCCAAGAGCCTCCGGGATGTAGATTTCAATGTCGCCAGGGGAACCATTGTTTGCCGAATTGGTGAACATTGTCTGATGGGGTGCATCGGTGCTGCGTACGTTTAGTTCAATGAAGTGAAGAGAGGAATTACATGCTTACGCTGTGGTTACAGTTGCATCGGGTTTCCGCGTGATTGTAATGATTGGCGCGTCAGATGCAGTGGCTATAGCAACCGTGGATGCTTGCGCTGCGGAAGCTGCTGGTCCCAGTTGATGAGCAGGGGCGTGGAGAGCTACGGGTACACCTTTCGATGAGTTGGAGGTCACCGGTATGATATAAGCAAAGAAGACTGCAACCGCTGCTCCTACTCCATACAGCAGCTCTTCTACTTGACGTGTTTCCAATTCGGTATTCGGGCTGACGAGAATGTCTTTGATACTCTCAAAGCATACATCATCAAGGTCGACGCAGGCGCTGTCCAGAGCGCTTTCGACTTTCCCGCGCAGTTCATCTGAAAGTATGACATCGACCCCGTCGTTGGGGCTGGGCGAGTCGGTAAAGACAATGCGTGATCCAGTAAGAGTTGGCGTGGCAGTCTAATTTTGTCAGCGGAACGGCTCTCATGTCCGTCAGTCGATATCGCTTCGTACCAGAGTCGCTGAGTATTGTTTGGTGTCACCCAAACTGAGCGTGAAGATCTCAGCCATTGAGACTGACGAAAGTGCTCCAAAACTGATCAAAACGATGGGACGAACCATGATACGAGATGAGAGATGAATATGTGATGAGGTCAAATATAAAGCGAAGTACTACTGGTAATCCGTTGGTGTCTGTCTTGTCAGATACTGCCAGCATGGCGGTTCATATACACCCCCAAATACTGAACAGTCATGCATCTCAATCCAAACTTACAACGTGTGCATCAAGGAAGTCGAGGGTCAGTCTGCATTTCGGCCCTCCGTCTATCCGTCTACCCAGTCTATCTGTGCCCCCTCCTGCGTCTGGTGTTGCACCTAATGCCGTATGCTGGCATCAAGAGGCACAGGCGCGAAGTTGGGGGGCCGAGACAATCAAAGTGATCGAGGGTGTTAAGAGGACGATGATGTAACCGATAAGCCGAGTGTGTTGTGATGTCTGACTTCTCCAACATGATTGCCGCTCATGCACGCCAGCTTGCCTCGCCACCTCAAGCATACATTTAGGGGCTGATGTCCTTATGTGATTCGGCGAAGACACAAGACACATGTGACAAGATGACATAGCAGGATATGTATGAGGAAGGTAACAGCTTCTGTGTACCACTGACGGAATAAGAGAGGTCACATTCTCCTGCAAATCACCCCTCGAAGGTAAAGAACGTCCAATCCGTTGAATATCACCTGTCCCTGGAAGCGAGATGAGCACATTGCTTGGAAGAGAACTGTGGCATAGTCGACTGATCTGCCACATGTGCCACTAAGGTTGACCAAGTTCGGCTGCTTTCAGAATTTCGTACAACTCCTCGCGACCGCGTTCCTGCGCGTACTCGATTGGCGTCGTTCGACCTACCTTGCACCGAATGGTAGGATCTGCGCCATGTTTCAGCAGATACAGCAGTTTCTCCTTGGCGTTATGTCGAACGGCGTGGTCGAGCGGCGTAGCCCACTTCTTTGACACGTAGTTGACGTCGGCGCCATGATCGATCAAGACAGCCATAGTAGCGATGCCGTTCCTTTGGCCCCGAACTCCAATGGCGCTAAAAAGTGCCAACGGATCCATCGTGGCCCCGTGAGACAGCAGAATCTGCAGTGGTGTTGCGTCTTCCCGACGTGCCGCTGAGGCGAGGGCGGTACAAGGCTGCAGACATGACCCTCGTCTTACAGACTTGATGTTTGGGTCTGCGCCGTGATCGAGGAACCAGCGTAGTAGGTTTTCGGAACGCTGAGCTCGGCTACCAAAACGTGAGAAACAGACTGGATAGAATGATGGTAGTGCTCACTGGATAGCTGGTGTTTCAAACTCTGTGCTGTTGACATCCCAACCATAATTGATGAGTTCTTGGAATACGGCAGGCTCATCTCTAGCGAAAGCTGCGTTGAACGATAGAATCGATAACGTAGCGCCATGGTCCAGCAAACTTTTGAGCATGCGCAGTGATCCATTTCGCATCGCTACTGTTAGGCATCCTTGTAACTCTTTGTAGCTCGGCTCGGGGTGGCTATGAAGCCACGCCAGTAGCCTGTCAATGTCGTCCGATCCGATAGCATCCTGTATCTCCGGGGGCGGGAAGTTCATGTCGCTGGTAGAAGAAAGTCGAGGGTGTCAAGGCTACGCGCCATGATATCGAGGAGGGCAAGCATTACATACATGAAACGTGCGGCACAGATATGTGCATGTTTGGGTGGTAACACGATCGAATTGATTCCCGGGGCTGATTGACGTCATGCCAAGATACCAACCACCTCGATAGCCCCCGCCTCACGTGGCCCCTAATTGTTGGGGGGAACCGTGCGACCTTCGTTGGGATTGGCACCACCAACATCTTCTCTATCTTTCGCGCGTTTGGTGTGCGAAAGAGATAGCCCCCGGCACAGTCGATAGTAGACACACACCTGTTTCATGTTTCATGTGCCATGCCTCTATTCTGTAGCTCGCCTCATTGAGGCATGAGTGGCACCTTCCCGGCTACGGCCCTAGTCGGCATTGCTTACCTACCGCAGAATTTCTGTTGCTCCAGTCTCGCGGATTCAGTATTTATCAAAGCATATCCGCCAGTAGATGACGAGAAGGGTAGAGAACTACTCGCGTGAGTTCGTTGTGACCTGTTGTACCATTCCAACCCGTGTACATGAGCCATCGCCCGCGCTCCCTGAAGACCTGAAAAACACCGAAGTGCACGAACCACAGATCTCAAAATGAGGAGAGGCATCCTTTTCGCAGTGCTACTGGCCATCTACTGCTCGACCGCTAATGTCATCTTGCGTAAGTTAGGCCCCTACTTGCTGTCTCAGTGGCATGACATTCGACTAACCAGAAGCTAGGATACGCGACAGAGGTTGATAGTCCCAACCAAGAGAGAACTGAACTGATCGAACACGATGTCAGACAGCTTTCTTCGCTCGGCAGCCACCTTCACCGCCGTGCTGGTCGTGCGAAATGTAGTGCGCCTCACCGAGGACCTGGCATCGTCGAAAGGGGCCTGAAGGGCTCTTTTGACAATTCTACCATTCAAAGGCGCATGAATCTTCCCACTTTCGACAACATTGATGATTACATTGTAGCGGAGACTGGAGAAGCCGAGGCAGTCGTTTGGGGTCAACGAGACGGTAACGGTGACGAGAATGAGTTCGACACCAACACGTCGATATTCGACCAATTCAAGTTCTTCCAGGAGAATCAAATGAGTCAGGGCACCTCACATCTTATGGGCTGTACTATGCTAGTCATTGTCAGTCGCAGAGGTGTTTGGATGGGTCATTTCTGGGAAAACATCTCCTTTGACACAGACCACGACCACCACTTCTGGGATAAGTACAAGGGAGACCAAGACAAAATCTTCACCGAGACTGTTATCAAGGGTATGCGGAACGGCAAAGGACGCGGGAGAAATAAGCAGCAGGACTCTTTGAGGTTGAACGCCGATAAGTTCAAGGACAACCATGTCAAAGCTTACCTCATCCATCCCGAAACCAACGCTGATGAAAGCGGTGACTATAGAGAATACTGGGATAAGATGAAAGAGGAAGCATGTATCTATCTTCCCAAGCTTAGGGAACCAACCCGCTGGGAAGAGCATTCATACGAACCTACGGACGACAACGATATACTCGACGAAACCCCACGCGGGAGACTGCTGTTCAAATACGACTCAAAGCATCTCCGCATCGGACCGAGTGCTGATGGCACACCCTTTACAGAGCATCGAGTAATGCTGTGGAGCGAGACGAAAGAGTTGCATGAAGATGGATGGACCGCGGGCACCATCGAGAAGTCCTGATGCGCTCTGTCTTACTGTGCAACATCAAGCGACTCCACCGCTTTCGCCGCCAACTAACCCCCAATCCTTGCATGGCTATTTGTAAACGCCCCATTGTTTTCGTTTTAACGATCTTCGTTTTTTGCGAATATGAATGTTCAACACGGTCTTTTCACGAGAATCTCAGCGTCGCCATCTAGCAACGTCGATTGTTTTTCTTTCTACCCACACTGTACTCCTGCCTCTTTGGGGGTCTTGGACTCTGCCCGTCACTATCGTTACCAACGCTACATATAATTTACTACCTAGTCCCATTGTGCGAATCACTACATAATGACTGAAATCCTTACATCTTGTGATTCAAACTGGCCTAATCCCCCTGATCCTCCGACTTCTCCTCTTCATCCTCGCTTCCAACATCTCCGCCAACTCCACACACCCACGCTTCCTAGCATCATCCGCAGCCGTCGACCCAAAGCAAACCACCTCGGGATCTGCACCATATTCGAGCAAAACCTCCACCGCCTCTGCATTACGGCACCGAACAGCGCACTTCAGCGGCGTACCCCATCTCTGCGACACAACATCCGCAGGTACACCCTTTGCAAGCAAAAACTTCACCGATTCGGTAACCTGCGAGCGGATAGCATGAAAGATGACCGACGCATCCGGTCTGGCGCCAAACTCAAGCAAAATGTCCATGGCCTTCACCGAGCCACACGAAGCCGCCTTCTGTAACGGTGTAGCGAAGTCTGCGCATGAGCCTACCAACCGGGGATTCGAGACGACATTCAGCTCTGCGCCGTGTTCTAGCACCCAGCGAAGAGTGTTCTCTTCATAGATCGAAGCCCTTGGTTGTATGTTAATCGTGATATTCGCTCATGCAAGAGGAAATATGCATACCCAGCCACGCTTTCTCCATACCAAAGTCCCTTTCCACCTACATACCATCCCCACTTGAGCATCAGATCCAGTAAGCTCGTGTCCTGGTTTCCCCTCTCCAACGCAGCATCAAATGAATGACGCGTCAACTTCGCCTCATGTCTGAACAATACTTCGAGGACGTCGAAATCCGCCTGTGGCATCGCCACATCAAGACAATGATTCTTATCTTTCTGTGTAATAGCTCTTGTCCCTTTTCGAGGGCGTCCTTGCTTGGTGAACTTGGCTTCCAGGCCATCGGCGTCGTTGTTCTTGATGAGCTCTTCGAGCTCCTGAGTTAAGCCCATGTCAGCAACCTCTTCGGGGTATAGAGGCCCGATGATACATGTAATCATTGGTGCGGTTGTGGTGGCGGTGAGGATGAAGGGTCGATGTCTGCGCGACACCAACAAAGGTCTATTTGAAGAGCGGTCGATGTCATGCCAAGGTGGCAGCCTACAAGATCCATAGGACTTATGCATGTGTACGGCGTGGTTGTGGCATCTGACTTACGAGGGATGCGTTGATGCTTAGTATACACTGGAATAGCCAACCGATAGGAATATGAAAAAAATGTACTTCATTGAATACAAGGCTATAAAGGAAGCTGGGGTTGTGACCGTAGCACCATCCAATGATCGACCCTACGACTTGCACACGAACAGTGTATTCCACCGCCGTTAACCATTTTCGTCGTTTCGCCATTTCGAACGCCGATATGCCCACCCTTCCAAGTATCATGATATCGTTGCAAGGTTGCTTAAGTGCATGCTCAACGAGTGACTGGCCGTGCCAACATGAGAAAATAAATAGACCCAAAAGAAGCCAAACATGTACGCCTTAGCCGTCATCCCATGCAGGTGAGCGCCATATTTATCCGAGAAGTTTGTCCTTGGGCAGACGCTTGAGGGCTGCCTCAACGTCCTTGTGATCCACGACCACGCCGCTCTCAGAACAACGGGCTTTAGCGCGGAGCTCTGAGCAGAGATTGTCAATGTCGATCGTGCCATCCTTGAAGTCTGGGCGACTTGAGAGCTTGTCCCTGTGCGGTGTTAGCGTACCAGTTCTCGTGTAATTACAGGGTTGTACTGACCATATCTTGTGGCAGTTGAGCAGCGAGTTGACATCCTCGCCGGGAACAACCTCATCCTCACCATCTTGTATGCGCTCAATTTCTTCAAGAGGGTTCGTCTTCTGCACAGCAGGTGTGTCGCCGAAGTGGAAGGGGCTACCGTAGCCAGTGTTGAGGAAAGCATCATTGAAGAAGCCACCAGTAAAGTCGCCGTCACCCACAATCGCATTCTGAGTATCGCGGTACTCTCCAAAGAGGGTCGGGTCGAATTGGCCGCCGTTTTGGTTCGCGAAGTAATCGATGCCATTGACGGCAGGTGTGGGGGATTTGGCGGCTAAGACTGCAGGAGAAGGTTTGTCGTCAGATTGGGACATCGCACGAGGCATGGGATTACGAGGGTTGCCGCAGGCCATGTTGAGCTTTTCGCAGAAGAGGACCTCACCTTCGGAGTTTCCATGACACACATAACCGTCCTTGATCGTGTCCAACTGCTGATTGGGCGAGGTATGACTTGGCTCTGGTGATGTCCCGCAGGAGGAGTCTTGGTTGGTAGGCGATGTGGATGAGTTGGACGGTGAGTCTGAATGGCTTGACGAGCCACTGTTGAACTGGAAAACACGCGATTGCGAACGAGTGGAGTTCTCCGTATTACTGCGGGAGGGTTCGTTGTTCGTCTTGTTGTTGTTGTCGAATCCGAAAAAGCCGTTGAGACTGCCGGAGCGCTGCGCACTACCTGGGCCTATGGCGCCAGGGGAATCTGTGAGCGAGCCGTTGGCCCTGCTGGTAGGGCTAAGGGCGCGTCCAGTGCTGTTTTGGCGACCAGATGCATTCGACGAAACCGATGTGTTCTTGTTCTTTGCTAAGGGACCGTTGTCCAGTAGCTGGGCGCCAGGAAGTCCGCCGAAACGTGGGAACTCGAAGGAGAAGTTGTTGTTGTTGCTATTGTTGTTCAGCATAGAGCTGAAGCCTCCAGCAAGAGCGGGAGTTCGAGACACTCCGGTGCTGTTAAGCGATAGTCGCTTCCGGTATTCGCGAAGTTCCGTTTGCAGCCGTTGCACTTGTGCTCGCAAGAGACCGTTCTCGTGGTTCGTGGCATCGGAAGCCTTCTCAAGTTCCTGTACTTTGGTCTCCAGGTCTTTCAGATGCTTTTCTTTGCGTTCTCGGAACGCTCGTTGGGCCGCGCGATTCTGGGCTTTCCGCTTCTATGCCTGCTGTCAGTTGGGCTAACGTGAGCATGCTCCATGAAACCTACAGTCGTGGGCTCCGAAGTCAATGGCTTGCGACCTGGCTTCTTTGCTTGCTTATCTTCGCCTTCCCTGCGCTTACCGCCGCCCTCGTCATCGTCATCGTCACCGTCGTCCGGACTCTTCCGCTTTTCGCTCGAATCGCCGGGAGTGTCCCCAGGTAGTGAGCCAATCATGTCGCCGTCTGCGTTGTCGAAATCGAAGCCATTGTCGCCATCCAGGTAGTCGACAAAGGGACTCTCTTCCATACTTCCGCCATTGAAGCCGTTCGCGGGTGTTTGTTGTTGAGGCGACGTGAAGTATGCGGGATCGAGGCTATCGAGAGGATACTGGAATTGGGAGTTGTTCATAGACTGCTTGTTGTTGGAGCCGCCGTCGAGGCCAGCGGAAAAGATGTCGTTAGGGTTCTGGTTGTTCGAGGCCAGGGCCGCGAGGAGGAGATCCTGCTGCGTCGCATCCAGGTAGAAGGGCGCGCCATTCTGAAAATCGTTGGTAGTTCCGGCCATTGCAACTACAATCGCGAGGTAGAGGGTGGTTGGTGTTGTGTATAGCTCCGAGGAGAGCTTGCGGGTTGCTTGCCGCAGCTACGCAGCGTAGCGGAAGTTCGGAGGGGCTGGCTATCGGTCAACCACGTGCGATAACCGTTTTCGCCACCCGGACACCGCACAATGTGGAGGTGCGGGCGCGTTGGGCTTCTGAGAGGTGGTATGAATGACGCAAGATGTTGGGGGTTGATTTGGGTAGCTCGTTCAGCGGGCGGAGGCGGGCCAGTAAGCCGACGAAGGTTTCGCGGGTATGGGAGGGCTTGTGCAGAAGGCAGAGCGCTCTGTGAGTGTAGCGCACTTGACGACGGCCGCAGAGGGGTATGCGATGTCTTTTGTCAAGAGATGGACAGTTTGAGCGAAAGGTGGTCAGATGGTGAAGGAGCAATGGTGCAAGAAGTCAATTCGCAGCCTCACAGCCTGGAAGCCAGATCCAATGCGGCACCTGGGTACCCTAGCTGGTTGGTTCGGGCGACTTTTCGGAGCAACGCCGTTAAGCCTGTCAAAAAGCGGCCGACAACAGGTGAACGGATGATCAGCGTCAGTGATAGGTTAGGGCCGAGAGTGTGACTGTTCTCGCAGAGGCACGGCGTCAGAGAAGGGCGCAGCAGACGGCAGGCTCAGCATGCGCTTCCTGGTCTGATTGATAAGCACAAAGCTTGGTGGGGTAGGGGAGAACGCCATCGAAGACCACCACACCGGACGCTGATCACCGCGTCCGGTGCCTGGTCCTGCAGCAGATGTGAGTCTCGCCAGATTCTCGAGTGCTGTCTACTGGAAGGAGACTGGCTGGTTATAACAGAATTGGCGGTTTCGCTGCCACTACACTCATTGGCGTCATGCGTCATGCTGAATAAGAGTTGCCAGTGCGTCTCTCGCTGTCTACTTCCGAAGACGGCGCTTTTCTGGAAAGAAGAATACTAATCATCTCGCTGCGTACTTGCCTGGTCCATGCGACTCGGCCATAGTTGATCATGGATACTATCTCTCATAAACGTCGGTGAAGCAGCGTAGAATGGTGCCAAGCATGAAGATGCGGCAGGGACTGTTAAATGCAGAGTTGATGGCTGCAGCTGCAGACGTTAGGTGACGTGAGCAGTGAGTTTGGGTGACGGTGGTGACGGCCCCAGTGCCATTCGACATTCACGCACGCTTGTCTCACTTATAGGGCTGAAGCGCGGAGAAGAAAGGGTCTAGGCTGTGTGGGGCGGTGCCAAGACCCGCGGCTGCCTGCCGGGCGTCACTGCTGGTCGCGACTTCCTCACTTGTACGCGACTGTGAACAATCCAACCCACCACAACATCGCAACTACACGTCTACCAGCGATTGCAACATGGCGGACAACACCAAGCAGATCAAGAACGCCGTCAACGCCAAGAGGCAGGCAATCGCCACAGAAGAGGCGCAACGTGCAGGATGGGCAAGTCAGGTAGGCTGCGCACCACGGAGCTATCGCATGGTCCAGACTGACGTTGTATAGCTTCCGGAGATGGAAGCTTTGATTGCCACGGTCGGAGAGACTGAGGAGACGACTGGTTTGCGTGCGGAAATGCAGCAGCATATCGCCGAGCACGACGCCAAACTTGAGGTCCTGCGATCCGAACTCGCCGCTCTCGAGGCCCAGCTTCCTGAGGACGCCGCTGAACCTGCCGGTCCCAAGTTCGATATTGAGAAGCACCCAGTCCTGCGCAAGACCATGGAGAAGCAAGAGCCCGAGAAGGCCGTCGTATTGAACATTGGCGACATCTGCGAGGCGCAGTGGACTGACAGGTCCTGGTACAAGGCCAAGATCCAGAGTAAACTCGGCGCCGCCTCAGCCCCCAAGTACCTTGTTCGTTTCATCGAGTACGACGACACCTTGACCGTCGATGGCTCCGCCGTACGCCCTCTGCCGAACAAGCGCAAGCGCGACGCCGAGCCCGCGTTCGCCGCAACTCCGTCTGCGCCCGTTGTCTCGAGTGCCCACGTCATCTCCGGAGCTGCTAGCATGAACCCGAGTGCGCAGGCTGCCAAGAGCGCCGGAGCTGGCCAGGACGGAGAAGAGAGGAAGGCTAGTCGCATCGCCAACAAGGGCATCCTCAAGAAGAGGCAGTCAAACTGGGCCGACTTCCAGAACAAAGGTAAAAAGAAGGGCGTTGTCAAGAAGGAGTCCATGTTCCGTACCAGCACCGAGGCTGGCAGTCGAGGTGAGTAAACCTAGCAATCTTTCCGTGTCTCATCGCTAACGCCTCACAGTCGGCTTTACGGGCTCTGGCAAGGGCATGACCGAAACCCACAAGCGTCAGCGTTACGACCACAAGGCCGACGCGGACCAGGACGAGGAGTACTCTGGCGACCGCAAAGGCTTCTAGACCGTCCAAGGCGAGGTCGACGAATTCTCCGTGGTACGTACAATTGTGATCGAAAACATTTGATACTCTGAATCCCTTGCTTACGTTGCCCTTGGGCCAACTTCAGACCTAGGCACACCTCAGCTACATGGAGTGATCCACTGTTGA